TGTCGCTCATGACGACACAATCTGCTGATTAATCACATCACTCCACACATCAATAAATCAGCAGTTTCTGGGGCCGCTGTGTGACTGAAGTGAGGTCACGCGCAGATGGAGCTCGGGCGCGTCCACTCGAGAGGGGGTGCAGTGGATACTTCAGATAATCGTATCAAACAGACTCAACTAAACTATATATAACTATATATTATAACTATAGATTCCTGCTGTTTGAGACATTTTAATAAGCCAACATTAATTCATATCATTTTTCGTCAGGATAATGACAAGAATTGAATTGCGCACCCCGTGCAGTATTATATAGTTCCGGCGCACCCCTCCTATTATGGGCATATCGTTCCAGGAGCTCCACCAAAGCTCAGTGACACTGATTTACAATAAATTAACTTTGGACTTGGACTGGACTGAAGAACTCTGCTGTAATATGTTTTTGTTGTATGTATGTTTGTTGTTGTTGTTTTTTACGAGCATTAAAAAAAATGATTTGCAATAAAATATTTACACAGTCATGGGTAGATTACCACAAATTGTAGTCCGTTACTGATAACAAATTACAAGCCAAAACATGTAGTTAGCAACATACTCTATTACATTACATATTAATATAATCTGACAACTTTTTGACTACTTTTAAATTACTTTTGACCAAATTCTGATATATAAATACATAGAGAAAGAAAATGCATTCTTTATCAACAACATAAAGTACATTGCACAGATGGTTCATGAAAGAACTGCAGGGCATTATTGCAGTTTAATAAAAAAAAAAAGCTGATCACTAGTTCAATTGTAAAAAAAAAAAAAATTTAAAAATGTGTTTGAAAGACAAAAAAAAACATTTAAGCTGGCTATTATTAAACTTTTTATTTAAAAAACAACAACAACTTAATCCAACAGAATTCGTTAATTACATGTCGATCTCGAATCTGCCTTTCTCAAAGATACTAGAAAAGGCAGTATCTTCACAACTGTGTTCCTTTCTAGAAAGAGACGATATCTGTGAGGATTTTCAGTCCAGATTTAGACCGAGACAGCTCTCATCAGAGTGATCTGAGAGAGAGAGAGAGAGAGAGAGAGAGAGAGAGAGAGAGAGAGAGAGAGAGAGATGATTCAGATAGAGCAGATAAACACCGAATTGGGCATGACCACAAAATGATGTTAAAAATACACGTCTAACCCCTAGTGTTGGCTCGGTTCTGTCATGAACAGTTGAGAAAGAAACAGAATGTTTGTCAGTTTTTTCGGTCTTAAGAGACGGCAGATTAATATTCTGTAGAGAACAAATAGTGTTATTTTAAATTTAGGCTTAATTATTAGTTCACAAAGTCTATCAGTATTCAGTGACAGAAACTGTGTTATTTAGTGTCCATCTCTGCTTTTCTTCTTATTTTACAGACTGTTCACTTGTTTTAAATAATGTGGGAACTTTATTAGTTAGGCTAGTCGTTTTTGATGAAGAACTTCAAGTGAGTTATCTTCAAGTTATAAATGAAAAACAAAGTTAGCCCCTTTTTTTCTTTCTTTTTTGTCTGATCCGAAAAATGATCAGATCCGTGGCTCAATACAATAGACATAAATGATTGCTATTTTTTGTGATCCGCTCCACATCCACTACTGATGGAGTGTTTCAGTCCTGAGGTTCGGTGGAAGATGCTCAGATGCGCCGGTGGTCAATCAGGACAAACGGTGGAGATCCTCCTTCAGTCCTGGAGTACGGAGGAGTGACGTGACCAGATAGCCAGTGTCCAGTACAGGGGTCACAGTCAGAGGGTCTTCCTCACGTCTCCGCATGAGGTTGTACGCCCTGGGAAGGTCCAACACAGTGGCTCTGCTGAGGTGTTCAGGTGCCGCTGGGACGAGGGGAAGACGGACAGAGAACGGTAATCAACACAAGGCCGCAAGCCCAAGCGCAAGAAGCTGGAAGTAGCGGGGGACGTAGAAGGGCGGATGTATACTCTTCTGCACACTCCTCCATGGGACACAGAGGAGGACGAGACACTGGAGGATCAGGACAGAATGGAGACTGGAGACATCAGGCAAGGTAAGCAGTCCTCTTCGTACAAACGAGACCGGACAATGAGCTGGGCTGAGGTGTGTATATACAGTGTAGTGGAGGTGATGAGGGTGATGATGATGATGATGATGATGAGGTACTCAGGTGAGCGAGGGAGTGCATTGTGATTGGCTGGTGTGAGAGTCTGGCAGATCTGTAAAGATCTCTTAAGATCACTTAAAGCTACGGTAGCCTATTTGTTTTATAAATACTTTCTGTTATACTTGAAACTCTCTTTATATCCTGATAGCAATCAATAATAGAAGTGGTCTAAATATTAAAATGTACATGCATCTCTTGTGGAAGTTCGAAGTTTCCTTCCTTCACAGTCATCGGCATGTTCAGGAAGAGCAGAATTAGACAGACGTCAGTCAGCGAGAGCCGCAAACAAACAGCAGCTCCTCCAGAACCACACAACCAGCTTAACCTGCGTCCATAACGAAATTAAAGCTACCATGATGATAATGAGAAGGCAACCAGTGGCGTTCTACACTTTTTTAATTACTGACTTAAACCTCACTTTACTTGCTTTCAGCTGCTAAATTCATCAAATATCTATTCAGAACAAGAGTCAGACTGCAAGCATGATACTGATTGAATAATCTTTTTGTACAGAATTTTTGAGATTGTTGTGTGAGTGAAACGTCTGTTTAGAACTGGTTGCATTTTCCTAAAATAAATATGTGGCGATCGTTGGAATTTAATGGAAGCCTGTACTCAATTAAGTGCATTTTTTCCATGAATATGAAATCACAGTAGACAGAGATAAGCTTCCAGAATTTTATTAACAAAATAGCTGAATATATTTATAAGTACACACACAGGCTGGTGAATAAATGGGGCAGTTCTGACCAATAGCGATTCAGAGTTTGAGAACACAGATTAAATGGCACAAAATAAACTAGTGCCTCTAGTGCTTTGTCTTTACATTTAAAAAGCTTAATAAAATAGAAAGGATATAAAAATAAGACATGTTATAGGTATATAAAAATAAAAGGTATACTTCAAATTTAAAGTGTTTAAAAATGCAATTTAGTTTATCTGACAACACAGGCCGTTGACATACTGCTCTGAAACAGATATTCAATTCAGCTCAAATGAATTGAAATTAAGATGCAAAATCCTAAATGTCACACCAGTTTATCTGTTCCTAATCTTTACCATTGTTATAAATTGGGACTCTTACTCTGTCTTCTTCTTCACGATGACCAGGTAGGGCGGGCAGTGTAAGCGGTGTCCCATGATGCCGTGCGGCCGGATGCAGAGCGTGCGCTGCTTTAGGAGTTTCAGATGCGGCGTGACGTCGAAACGCAGGCCACAGGCGTTGGGCGGGACATGTGGAGGGGTGGGGCTCAAGTGTGGAGGGGCGGGGCTCAGTTGCAGTGGGGCGGGGCTCAGGTGTGGAGGGGTGGGGCTCAGCTGCGGCGGCCAGGTGATCTGAAGTCCAATCGTCTCAGCTGCCACGGACTCTTTGATAGACAGCACAACAAAGATTTCATCCCACGTGCTGCATCTCGTGTGAATGAACCAGCAGAAGTCGTCCGACTCGCCTGTAGAGAATCAACAGGAATATCACATCAGCTTTACACAGTACAATAGTAATAAAAGATAACAGTCAATGATGCAATGAGAGTTCAATTCTGCTGTAAAGCAGCTCTAAAACACAACAAGGTGTTTGTCCTGAACACTTAATAAACAAACTCCAGCGGGTCCAAAACGCAGCCGCTCCAGTTCTTACCAGAACCAGGAAGTATGACCATATTAGCCCGCTTCTGTCAACCCTGCATTGGCTGCCTATTAAACATCGGATACATTTTAAAATATTGCTGATTACTTATAAAGCACTGAATGGTTTATCTCGAAACTCCGGCCGGTTGATAATACCTAGAATATCTAAATCGACTGCAGGCGGGAGATCCTTTTCCTGTTCAGCACCAAAACTCTTAGTCTATAGCGTGTTGTGTGTGTGCTAGGCCAGAGAGATGTGTTTTAGTCTAGATTTGATCTGACAGAGTGTGTCTGCTTCCCGGACAATGTTAGGAAGATTGTTCCAGAGTTTTGGTGCTAAACAGGAAAAGGATCTCCCGCCTGCAGTCGAGTTTGATATTCTGGGTATTATGAACCGGCCGGAGTTTGGAGATCGCTATAGACGTGAAGGACTATAATGCGTTAAGAGCTCGCTCAAGTACTGGAGATAAACCATTCAGTGCTTTATAAGAAATCAGCAATATTTCAAAATGTATTTGATGTTTAATAGGCAGCCAATGCAGGGTTGACAGAACAGGGCTAATATGGTCAATCTTCCTGGTTCTGGTGGCGCATCCTATTGACAAAGATGAATTAATGATATGAAGAAGAGGATCTATGACCTGTGGAAGCGTCTCCTTCAGTAGCTTAGTTGGTATAGGGTCTAACATACAAATTGTTGATTTTAATGATTTAATGAGTTTAGAATGAGTTTAGTTTCTTCCTCTTCTATAGCAATGAATGAATCGAATTTTTCTTCAGGGAGACTACAGTGCACCCCCTGATGCGATAGACCGGTTGCATAGTTGTAATTTTGTCCCTGATATTATCAATCTAAAGAAATTCATAAACTCATTACTGCTGTGTTGCTTGAACACTTCTGGGCTTGAAGCTTTCTTAGTTTCAAATAAATACCTAGGATTATGTTTATTTTCTTCAAATAGGGTTGAAAAATTAGCAGTTTTTAAGGCCTCTCTGTATATGCGATCGAGCTCTCCTTCCATGAGATCCAGAATACCTTTAGTTTAGTTTTCTTCCAGCTACGCTCCATGTTTCTGGCTGCTCTCTTAAGAGCCCGAGTGTGTGTGTGTGTGAGTGTGTGTGTGTGAGTGTGCCACGGCGTTGGACTATTGTCTTTAGGACTATTGTCTTTAATCTTCTTTAAGCGCAATGGAGCAACTGCGTCTAAAGTGCTGGAAAAGAGAGAGTTAAAAGTTTCTGTCACGATATGAAGTTCTTCTGAGCTATCCGGGATGCTGAGATGATGAAACTGATTAGGAAGATTATTGATAAAGCAGTCTTTAGTGGCAGAAGTTACAGGTCTGACGTGTTTATAACATGGAGTCAGCTTTGCTACTTTGGCTAAGTTTACACAAGACTAGATAATGATCTGAGGTGTCGTCGCTCTGCTGCAGAATTTCAATGGCATCAACATTGATTCCATGTGATAATATTAGACATGAGTCCCCCTGTGAAAGCCTGCACCCTTTACTTCTGTACAGATAAAATGTTGTCAAAATTTCCAGGTTCACATGGATACGCAGAAGCACAAAAAAAAAAGTATTATGAATTTATAAGACCTGACAAGTGATTTGGTGAGGTCAATTTTTAAAGAAAGACTAGACGCCTGGCCACATATTCAAACGCTCATACCTGGTCTAGACTAAACACGTGATACGCATGTGCACACCGTCAGCATTTTCGCAGATATGCCAAGAGGTGATATTGATAACGTTTTTCAGAAGCTGTCAGTGTTTGCACGTCGGAGCCTGTTTCAAGGTTTGCGTTCTCGACCCCCGAACGCCGCAGAGCGAGTGTCGTGTTAGCGGCCCAGTTAATCATTAATGATCTTTACGTAGTTGATCAAATCGATCAAAACGAACTTTAGCTGGACATTATTCTAGAGCTGCTGTACAATCTCTGTTACTGTAAACTCCTGTTAGCCCAAAGCTGCTTTGAAACAATGTATATTGTTTAAAGTGCAATATAAATAAAGATGACTGGACTTGACTTGCAAAGCTGTCTTTATTCCGTTACAATCAGTTCAGAGATTAATAATTATCAATTATGGAACTGTGTTGAAATGATGCTCTCGACACTTTTAACGCATATGTTTAATTTAGAGGGAAATGAAAAAATAATATACGAAATGTCAGCCCAGATCATTACAGAGTTACATTTCAGTTATAGAGCAGCGTTGTCTTCACCCATCATCCACTTTCTGTACATACAGTTGCTTGTCTTTCTAACTAGATGATGAACACTGAAAAGAGCCTCGTCACAGTCTCCACACACACACACACACACACACACACACACACACACACACTCTCTCTCTCCCTCTCTTACCGGGCTGCGAGTCTTTGAACCGGACCGTGAGTTTCTGCTGTCCGTCTAAGATCTGCCTGTAAGTGAGCGCCGTACAGCTCAACACACACTCCGTCGGCAGATCTGCGTCCTGTGACATTTCAGCCAGAACCCGATCCTTGTCCACACACTCCTGCACACACAGAGCGAAGACGGCCGACAGCAGCGCGCCCCAGCGCAGCCACGCAGAACACACACACGCCATCGAGCTTCAGGACGGTCGGCTCCTGCGTTTGTTTGCTTTGCTTCTCTCTTTAATGTTCAGGGTCAGACCATCTGTGCCGACGGGGTCAACACCAGAAGCAGAGAGAGAGAGAGAGTGTGTGTGTGTGTGTGTGAGAGAGAGAGATAAAGAGAGAGAGTATGCGTGTGTGTGTGAGAGAGAGAGCTGCCCCTCATGGCTCTAAACTCTTTTACTGAGTGCGCAACAGCATGTGACACACACACACACACACACACACACATTCACTCACTCACTCAAGCACATTTTCAAACAGTGTGTGCCAATAAACTCTCAAAATAACCCTTCATGTCAGGAATGCAGTAAGTAACCTGCGGCCCGGCGTTGCTGACCAATGAAGAGTGAGCGTTAAAGAGGTTCATGTGAGTTCAATCTGACAAATCCTTTCAGCATGTGTTGTATTACACACAGAAGCTGCCAGAAGTGACACACACACACACACACACACACACACACACACACATGATAAAAGAGAAATGAGTGTTGATGTACAGAGTTCAGTGCATCTTTTATAAGGTGAAATAAGGACATCACACCTTATGTCATGAAAGCCTTTTTTAATAAACCATTCTGCAGATACATTTGATATAAACTGTATATATAATCTTGCTACATGACCGGCCGCTAAACATGCATTCGAAAGCGTTAGTTAATAGCCATCACTAGTTTATCTGAAACGGTTTTAATACTTTCCAGTACAATGGTGTGTTCAACATGGAAACATATACAGAGAAGAACAAGAACAAAATGTTATAAAGAAGAAAAAAGCTGCATGAAACTGCTTTGAAGCTGTTTTTTGTAGACGCAGATGTTCATTCTGGAATGCCATTCCATTCTTATCTGCGAGACCGGGACGTTTCCCAGCGCGCAGAGACACGCCAGCGGATGCCACACCGGGCGGGAACTGGCACAGGAGCCGGGGGCAAACAAAGGATATTTTGGAAGCAAGCGTTTATTTAGTCCTGGGAGTCGCAGAGGGAAAGTTTCTAAAAGATCAGGCGCTGACCACTGAAATCATGCCAGACCCATAAAGCAGGAGTTTAAAACACATTTGGCCTTGAACTGATTTGGAACAGATGGTTCATTGTTCTTCTCTGTGAACGTAAATAACCCAGTTGAACAGACTTTGATTGAGAACTTGTGTTTTCTGCAAACTATATATATATATATATATGTGTCCACATTGTTTTCAATAAACCCTTAAAGCCCACAAGAGTCTGAGACTCCCAACAGCAGCAAGTGAAGAATTAAAGACGCTTGTAAGTTTGTGCTGAGCCATAAACCTGCAAATCCTTCAAACCGAGTGAGTGAGTGAGTGAGTGAGAGAGAGAGTCAGGGAAGGCTCTGGGCCGGGGTCATGACCTCAGACTCCTGCGGGTCGTCTCCGGGGTCGCAGCCACACTCGCGGGTCAGGCTCACCGAGGACAGAACCAGACTACTCCTTTCATCCACGTACACGAACGGGACGATGTTGTGAGCCGTCGGCTTGCAGCACTGAGGAGGACGAGCAAGATCAGATCTCAGTCCAGAGAAACACTCATCCGAGAGTTAAACACACACACACACTTACCTGCGCAGACGTTAAACACACACACACACACATTCACCTGCGCAGACGCAGACACTCTCTCAGCGCAGAGGCTCGAGCCGCAGGATCTGCACTGGACGAAGGTGACGCTCTCCGGATAAACCACCCAGCGCTCCCAGCCCAAATCTGACACACAAGACATGCAGGAGATTAGAGGAACCGAATCTCTCCAGGTCACTTTCACCCCGAAAGACGAGGAAAGGAAAGAAATCATCATGATTAACGAAAACAAGGCTTTGCTTTCATTGCTAAAAGTGTAAAGCAGATGTAACGACTTTTAATTTATAGTGAGAATGATGATTAATACAAGTTAATCACAGTATCACACGACCTTCCCATTCAGCCTCTCCGATTTTATGCAAAATGTTATTTTCTTTATTTGGATTTTGGGATTTGATGAGATTCATATACACAGTCAAAGCAGGATCTGCTTGAACACTCACCTTTCATGAACACCTGAGAGGAATATGTGCAGCAGGTGGAGTTTGCCGAATCCTCTGGGAACGTTGAATTACCTGCTGGACAGAGCAGACGGAGAGGTTTAGTCACGAGCCGGGCCGAGCCGGGCTTGAGATCGGCGCTTCGTACCTGGAGAGGACGAGATGGAGTTCTTGAAAGCGTGACGCAGAAGATTCATCTGGGACACGGACACACGAGGCTCCTGCTGCAGGCTCAGGGACTCCAGGAGGATTTTCCTGATTTCCAGTTCTCCTCTGCATCTGCAACACACACACACACACACACACACACACACCTTGTGTGTAGGCCAAATATCTTGTGCAGTAAGAAGAAGTTGCCCCCATTTATATTTCCACAGTCAGTCCGTGCACAACAGAACCGTAAAGGTTTCTGGCAACATCCAGAAATTCTCTTTGGGCCAGTCCAGCACAATCAGGTCAGCGAGCCACACGTGATGAGGTCGACTGATCTGTGCTGGAGACTTCAAGTTGATCTGGATTCATAAAGACTGATCACACTGTTCTACTAAAAGCTGTAAAAATGCATGAAACTCTCTCCAGATATGCGCTCTTTTGTAAAACCTCAGCTCTTACCTCTTGTTTTTCACGGCGGACGAGGACGACGCCTCGGGCGAAGGATGGAGAACAAACGTCTTCCCGAGAGGAAAGCCGGACAGCAGCACTGCGACACACAACACCAGACTCATGTCTGCGGACTCGAGGTGTCTCGGGGTGGAAGGATGGAAGCGGTTTGCCGTGGCCTGGGAAAGCACGGGTTTATCTACTTCGGACAAGCTTGGCCTTGGAATACTTTGCACTGTTTTCATGTTGAGCAAACGGGATGGTGTTGAAAAGGAGGTGGAGAAAAAAAACACCAGTGACTTCTATCATATGGTTACATACTCGCAAAAAATGATAAGCTCAAACCCGCAGGAGGACAGATGGCAAATATGAGAAAGATCAGAAGGGAACGGTGCAAATAAAGAAGCCATTCATTAAATCATCCATTCATCATCAGCACACGAGAACGATGAACAAGAGAACACTGAACTGTGTAATGCAAGAAATCTTTAAAGATATTACAATAAGAAGTCCAAACTTAAAATAATGTGCTAAACAACTTTGCAAGACTGTGAGCACATGTGAGCAAATGCTCAGGAATGGTTAAAGAATCAGCCAAAGCAAAAATCACAAAAACATTTATTGATCACTAGTCAGTCAGTGTGTGTTCTGCCATTTGGCGCCCCACCAATATCTACAACAGCCTCGGTTTCCCTCTGGAGGATCAGTTTATCTGCTGCTAAACCATTATAACCAGAGTCCTGTCTGTGCATATCAGGCATGAACATTTAACACAAAGTCAAAAAGTTTCTTTGTTTTGTTCCTGCATTAATGTTCATCTCGAAGTGACAAAGTGAAAAGGTTTTAATTTTCTGCCATTTCTCATGAGAAACACAAAGGACATTGTTGCAGCATCTGTAGTTTCTCTTCTGACCTCAGATAAACCGAATCAAAGGAAGGCTGGCGTGTTTGTCCTTGAGTCGCTGCGCCTCCCCTGCGTCAGGAGGAACGCCACACCTGCGTGTGAACGGCAATCTAAAGGAAGAAACAACAGTTTATCTGTTACTCTGAGAAATCTGAGCCCTTCACCAAAACTTAACATCGTTTTATTCACTGATGGACTGTGACGCGTAACCCTAAGCATATTCACATATTAGCCCTCACAAAAAAAATATTGAGGGGTTTTGTCCCCCATTCTGTGGCATTATTAATATGTGTGGCATTATTTCAACCCCCTGGCCAGTGTCTTCTGCTGGTTAGCTCAGCATTACAGAACTATCTCAAATGTTAAATAACAGATATAAGATTAAAATAATATCAGATTTGTATAAACACAAAAAATATAGATGAAAAATTAACATAAGTAACAAAATGTACTTTTGCCATGGTTTAACCATGTTCAGCAATACCTTCCAAAGACTTGGGTGCAATTTTTTCCTCTATATAGTCAAGTCAAGAATATTTATATAGCGCTTTTCACAATATATAAACTCTTTATTAATCAAGTTGATGTATAGTGTTGATTTGAAATCTATTAAATACACTAAGTTTTGTCATTCTGCCATGTGTGGAAGTATGTAAAACAAGTGTGTGTGTGTGTGTGTAATATTAAGTCCACTGGAGGCAAGTTTGCACAACCCAAGTGCAGTTTAATTATACTCAAAACAAGATCCAACATAAGACAAAGACTTGGCAAACATGGCTTCAAAAACAAGAACATGGGCGTTGCGTTTGCCAACGGTGGTTACCCATGACAATCTTTACCCTTCCAGATCCCCCACTCTATGAGCGGCTCCTGACGCACAACAAAAAATATGTATGTCCACTCCCGCCCGCACCCGCAAATCTCTGACAATTTAATCCCGCACAATAATAGAGATGCATTGATTTTGTGTCTTCTCCCGTCCTGCAGGAAAAAAAACACGTATTTGTATTGCTATTATTAAAGAGATTCATGGGGTGGTTTATTTCGTTTCCCTGGCCTGCATGTATTCTGACGCACTGATCAGGAAGATTCAGGGACATCTGAAACGCTTAGGCTACCGCACGTTTCTTTTAATTTCAAGTACTTTAATTTTAGCTTTTGAAGTATTCCATCATAGGCTTCATTGGGCCTGGAGTAAATGTGCAGAACGCATGTCTGAAGGCAGCTAGCCAGCTAGCATTTATTGACATCTCCATCATGTCGCTAGGCTACCTCCTGATCCCACAGTGTTTTTTTTTAGCCGTCTATACCCGCCCGCAGCAAAGTTCAAACCACCCACTCCCGCAAGATTGTTTTGTTGGGTCCCGCGGGATGGCTCTGGGGCATCTTGGAACATGACTCTGGCATGGCGGCCATCTTGGCAGAGGGCTCAGTAGCAACTACCATCTTGGGACGTTACTCAGGCTCAACAGGCATGACGTGAAGAGACTCGGAAATCGGCAGGCATGACGTGAATTGACTCTGGCTTGTTGTACTGGCTGTGGTGTGCAGTGCACTGTGGGATTGTGAAGCCCCTTATCCACAATTCCCACAGTAAACGAGGAACCGCTGGGCAGAAGGGCATGGCCGATTTATTTCACCAGATTCCAGCTGATTGACCCTCTAGGCATCCTAGAGGAGATTGGTTCATCCACACCAGCCCGAAAAATGTTGAGGGCTTGTTGAGGTCTCTGTCTAGCCTGGATGCCAACCCGAACCCGGCTCACAACATTTTTTGGTCGGGAAGTCGATCCACTGAGGAGTGATTATGATCAGTTCAGAAATGGTCAGGCCAATGAAAGTGCCAGGGCAGGCTTTATACGATGATGGACAGTTGATCTGCATTTACGTAATCATCACGTTATCAAACAACGCGCTCGTGTTGAACTGGTTTCCCTCAGAGATGACTGCAGCAGGAGAATTGTGCTGATGTGCTGACTCTGAACTGTCTGTTGTAAAAGAAATCGGCCGCGCGTTCATTTTTAAAGACGAACAGAAAACTGCAAATAATGGATGCATCGATCAGAAAGATGTGTTTGCCGTCCTTCCTGCGGGATTCGGCAAAAGTTTAATTTATCAGCTGGCTCCGATGGTGGCTAAGAAGATGGGACGCAATGAAAACGCTGAGGTTTCTCCTTTGGTCGCACTCATGGAGGACCAAGTAAAAGAAGGAACACTCATTATTTTACTACTTCTTCCAGCGTGCACTTGAGTTCTGTTGACAACTACCGGTGTGCTATGCAATTATAGCTGTCTTACTGCGTTGCTCTGATATCTGTGATACGATTGTAGGTCTATCCAATTGAGTGCAGAGTTTGTTTTTTTCCTGGTTCGGTTAAGACATGCTTTATAATCAAAGCCCTATGGAGTAAAATCAGACTAGAATACGAGTATGATGAAGTCAGGCTAGACTGTAAGTCCACAACAGTCCTCAACATTTGTCTCAAGCACTACGGTTTCGCCATTCTCCTGCTGTAGATGCACGAGGGCAACTGCTGGATTCATTTTAGGTCAAGTATTCTGCAACATTAAGTCCACTGGATGCAAGTTTGCAGAACCCAAGTGTAGTTTAATTATACTCAAAACACGATCAAACATAGACTTCAAAAACAAGAACATGGACATAGCGCTTTACCAACAGTAGTTACACATATCAATATTCGACCTTACAGCGTGGAAACTAGCCCCGCGTCAGTGTGTGTCCCGCTCACCCCTATCATAGATGATGGTCTGACCCTAATAACAAACTTTTACAAATTTAAAATAATAATAATAATTATTATTATTATCAAATCCATTAGGTTTCCTGACTGGGATGTTAATGAGATGTGGAGCACAGACAGCTAACCCACACACACACACACACACACACACACGCACGGAGCGGTGGCCTTTAACACATTCTTTATCCGTCTATTTTGGGTTGAAGCCGAGCCGCAGTATTAACCCTAATCCCGCCGCGGAGAGGTGTGTGTTGATGAAGGGATCCATCTCACCATCTGTCCATCTCTCTGAGCTCCAGCAGATTCATACACACATCATAATGCTGAGGGACTTCAGTCATGCTGGGATTCTGACGGGTGAGTCTGACGGTCTGTTGTTGTTTTCTAAATGCTGGAGATTTAGAGCTAATTGCTCTCTACAGCAGAGAAACATAATTATATTTCACAATAATAACTAATCAGTTACTCTCCTTCAGAGAACATTAAATGAAATGCAACATTTATTATTCACATTTGTTTAAAAGTGAAATTCAGACTACAAGTATTACTGGAATTAGTTGTTGTGATATGTGTGTGATTGGATCAACAGTGCGATACTGATATGGGATGCAGAGTCACAAAATCAAACCAACAGCAGCTGAAAGCATGCGATCCAGGTGCGTGAACAAGATTATTCAAGTCTGACGCTGTTCAAGCATTCATATCTGCCAGCGAATGCTTTCTGAGAGATACAGCTCACGTCCGTCTCTGTCTGTCTGTCTGTCTGTCTGTCTGTCTGTCTCTGTTTGTCTGTCTGTCTGTCTGTCTGTCTGTCTGTCTGTCTCTGTTTGTCTGTAGGGAGCATCTCAGTTCCAGGTAATTCTTCCTCATTTATTTCAGTAAATGTCTCATTGTTGTCAATGAATATGAATGAACATCAAAAACTTTATTTTTCTTGGTTTCTCTCACATGCAGCCGCTACAGGTCAGTCAGATTACATGTTTCAGAATAATCATCACTGTCACTCACATCTGCTGCTGACCTGATTCCCTCCCTCTCTGTCTGTCTCTCTGTCCGTCCATTCGTCTGTCTGTCTGTCTGTCTGTCTGTCTCTCTCTCTCTCTGTCTGTCTGTCTGTCTGTCTCTCTCTCTCTCTCTCTATCTCTGTCTCTCTCTGTCTCTCTCTCTTCATCCATCTGTCCAGCAATGCGTGCGGCTCTGCTCATCCAGCGCTGGTATCGTCAGTACGCGGCCCGGCTGGAGATGCGACGCCGCTGCACCTGGAACATCTTTCAGTCTATAGAGTATTCTGGACAACAGGATCATATCAAGGTTGGAAACATTGATGTTCTCTACAGATATGAAGCACAGACTTACAGTCATAGAAACTTCAGACACTGATCTCGGGTTACATGTTCTTTTAAGCCGTAATTGACCACAATCTTTCAAGAGTTAGTATCTGCGTTCTGTGTCTTTACATGTGAAAGATGCTTGTGCTGTTTGTGTCTCCGCAGCTGTATAATTTCTTCGGTTACCTGATGGATCATTTCACTTCTGCCAGCAGCCAAAGTAAGAAACTCTAGAGCTCTTCGACTTTGTCTCGTCTCATGAAGTGATCGGCGTAACCGACTCCATCTCTCTCAGGGAATCTGGTTTCGCAGATGTTTCGCGAGAGTGACGTGTTTCAGGACGTGGAGTGGGAGAGACAGTTCTGTTACAAGGACATCGAGGTTCCAGACGTCTACGCCGGCCCACATCTCTCCTTCCCACTGACCGTCTCCACTGTCACAGAGCTGGTGGACGCCTTCAAAAACAAACAAGTACGATCCTTTCAGTCTTTATCTTCCGTCAATGAGAAGATCTTGCTGTCTTTAAGTGCAGATGTGTTTCTGTAGAAGCTTCACGCACGGTACGTGCTGCAACTGCTGGGCAAGACCTGGACGCTTCTGCGCTTGATGCCCAACATCAGTCATGTGTGCAGCTGCAAACACACAGAGATCACCATCTGTGGTGAGAAAACACACCTCATTCTCAAGCTGTCTTACGAAACAACACGGTTTCAAGGCTACAAAGTGCAATTTAATTCTTCGCAACTCATGCAGGTGACTTACACGGCCATCTGGAGGATCTGTTGTTGGTCTTTTACAAAGTCAGTAAAATTCTGATGTCCACAGTTGATTGCATTGGAATGTGCCAGTAATAGATTTCTGTTTCACGACAGAATGGGTTTCCTTCAGCGGAGACGCCATACGTCTTCAACGGGGACTTTGTGGACCGAGGGAAAGAGTCGATGGAGATTCTGTTGGTCCTGTTTGCGTTCCTGCTGCTGTATCCGCTTGACGTGCACCTGAACAGAGGAAACCACGAGGACCACATCGTCAATCTGAGGTGGAGATCTTATCTATAGGCACACAGACACTCTCAAATCAAATCAATAACCTACATTTGTGTTGGCAAGCAACAAATTCAGTGACAGCAAGTACAAATGTCCTTATGTGTGTTTTAAATGAGATTGTAAGATGGAAGTTTCTTTCATGCAGATATGGCTTCACTAAGGAAGTTCTGGGGAAATATCCGGTGAGTTAACCGTTCATCCCTAAAGACCCGTTCACACCAAGGACAGTAACTATAATGCTAACAATAAGGATACAGTTGTTCTAAATGTAAAGGAACAGCCGAATCCATAGAGCAACTACAAAGATAACGGGATAGAGCAACACTGGAATCACATTGACAGCAAATCAGGATCCATCCTGCTTCAAAGAGCTCGGGCACTTAAATCGGCAGACGACAAAACTGCAGCGCTTATAATAAACAGAACGATTTTGTGCGGACGATGATATGGTCATCGTTCTTGGTGTGGACGGGCCTCACTGGGCTGTCCGATCCTGCAGGACCAATGGTCCAGAGTTCAGCTCCAAACGCCACAAACTCACTCCCTTGGAAGTTTCCAGTGATCCTGAAAGCCTTTGTTAGCTGGTTGAGCTTCATTTAATTAGGATTAAAGCTGAAATCTGCAGCCCTCCAGGAGTAGGATTGCACACGCCTGCCCTAAGAGGATTCACACCGTCCACTCGGCCATCCATTCACAACATTCACAGACAGACAGGGAAAAAACATACACATCCAATTCACATGTTTTTGTATATTCAACAAAAATGGGAAAGCTGGAGGAAAAAAAAACAACTATATTTTTATTGCTATAGCTCGCTATTCCTTTTCCTAACCCAAACGATTATTAAAACCTCATAGTTATCGTAAGTGGCTTGCACAGACCTTTAAGCATCTCTGATGTGTCATTTCCTTCACCAAAGACAAAACCTGAAGAGACTTTATCTGAAGAGCTGTTAAAGAACTCATAGTGCAAGACTCAAAACAAACAATTGTCTTCATGACTGAAGGCTTTTCTCTGTTGTCCTCGCAGGTTCATGGGAAAATGATTCTGAAACTTCTGCAGAAGATCTTCAGCTGTTTGCCACTGGCTACAGTGATTGACCATAAAGTACTGATTCTACATGGAGGAATTTCTGACAAGACGGACTTGAATGTGATCGCCAAACTGGACCGTTGCAGAGTATGCTGAGCTTTAGCAGTCGCATTAAAAATCGACTGAAGAATGTTTGTTGAGTTCCGTGTGTGTCATTCATTCTCTTCTGGGCTGTTTTCCCTCAGTTCGTGTCGGCCCTCCGGCCCCTGACGAGGAGAGAAGCAGATGGAGACGAGGAGGACATGAGCGCTGGACGGAGGAGAGTCCAGTCCCTGACCCATGGCCTGACGGGTCGGGCCAGACAGGAGCTGCCGCGGCACTCGGTACACTCGGGCTCCGGCCTAACGAGTTGTCCCAGGCAGGAGCTCCACTCGGGGTCCGGCCTGACGGGTCGGTCTGTCGACGAGGAGCTGCGGGAGAGACGACGGCTGGCGGGTCTCAGTCTGTCGTCCGACTCACCGATGAATTGTGCTGAGGTTCCGGAGTCAGACACAGACGAATGGAAACAGGTGAAAACACACACACACAAACACACCGAACTTCCCTTGAGCAGTAAAACACACATACTTTCAGTGACTTCTGTCTTTCTCTTTGTTTCTCTCACTCCAACACAGTACAAATCTGAGGAAAAGCTTAGACAAAACTACTGTGGCAGTACCATGGTACAGTGATGAGATCAGATGGTAATATCATGGTACTTATATATACGTGGTAATGAGTGATTACCATCATTTACTTAGGAATGCCATAGTATTCCCATGGCATAAAACGGATTGGTTACCAAATGTAACCTCGGTTCTCTCTAGAAGATGGAACGAGTATGGCATCAGTTGGCTTGCGCTACGGGAAAGATGAATCTTTTCAAGATATTGGAGCCAAACAATTATCCTTAATTTTGTCAATTTTGTTAATTAATTGTCAACGCAGTGCAGCAGCTGGCAGATCTAGGGCAGGCCATCTAGCGTGCTCATTGGCTGCCCTGCGGGAACTGCAGTAGCCTACCACTGAGGCCGACGTGACGTCACGTCCAATGAAGGGTGCTCGCGCCTTCACAGCGTGATAGCCCGCCAGTATGGGCGTGGTTTAGCGTATATAAGCAGGGCTCGGAGGCTGTTTCTCTGATTTTCATAGACTGAAGCGAAAGTGGCTCGTGGCGCAAGCACGGCAGGTTACGCAATACTCATTCCCTCTTCTCAACAGAACCGAGGTTACGTTAGGTAACCGATACATTCTCTTACGAGAGGTTCTCTCGTATTGCGTAAGTTAGCTTTCTCTACAGGAACCCTTTGCCAACGCCGTGTGCGCCAAGCATCCACTCATGAGTCCCAGGATTTCCTGGGGAACACAGATAAGTGGGAAAATAAGGTGGCCAGCAACGCGGCCAAAAGCGCTCATAGGGAATACAGAGCGGCGCCGCTGGTCTGAATAAGCATGTAGCACATACCCACTGGTGCAGCTCAACCAGAAGAGCTAAGACATGTGAAAGTAGCCTGCGGACGATCATATCTGGACAAAAACGTACATCTCACTTAAACAGACAGAAGGTTATCCTGCAGAGCAGGAACTTCTAGGTTATGGAACCTGACAAAGGTGGACGGGGAGAGGCATTGCAGACCTTTTGACGCATAAGCAGCTGCTATAGCGTTCACAATCCGTCTGGACAAGCTTTGTTTCGAGGCGACGAGACCCTTCGTGCGCCCACCAAACGAAACGAAAAGCTGAAAGGGGCGGAGCGCGCAATATAAAAAGTGTTGACAGGTACTTTAACTCTACAGACTCTAGTGGCTCAAAGGAAAAAGCTTTCAGGGCCTCGAGGACCAACGAAAGATCCCACATAGGAATCGACGTGGGTGCAGAGGGTTCGTTCTTCTGGCTACTCTAAGGAAGCGGATGACAAGCTAATTTTTTCCTAGGGATCGACTCTTCGAATTCTGCAACGGCCACCACATAGACTTAAAGCGTGACCTCCCCTTATCCAACAGCTCTTGTAGGAAACTCACAGCCGTGAGACCCCACATGCCCGTGGGTCCAGATTTTTGTCCGTGCACCATTTGGAGAACACAGAACATACAGACGCTTAAAGCTTTCTGGTAGAGGGAGCGCAATCGTGTTCATCACTCCTTCTGGGAGGGCAACAGGCACCCGTTGATCAACCATGCGTGCAGAGACCAGCGCTCTGTATGGTGATGCCAGATTGAGAGAGGAGATCTGTCTAGGACAGAGTCTATCCTAACGAGCTGAGGATCTGAATCAGGTGTGTTAAATAACAATATGCAGGGCAGTGGGTCGTGAGGACTGGAGTTGAGAACCCCTGCACTAAGCCATTCCCATCCTGGCGGGCTATGACGCTGTGAAGGCGAGCGCATCCATCCATTGGACGTGACGTCGCGTCGGGCTCAGTGCTAGGCTGCTGCAGTTCCCGCAGGGTCAGCTAGCTCTGCTCTGGGTCTGCTAGCTGGTGCACTGCATTGACAATGAATACAAAATTAAGGATATTTTTTTGGCTTCAATATCTCGAAAAGATGAATCTTTGCCGTAACGTAAGCTAACTTATGCGCAACAAGAGAACCTCTCGTAAGAGAACCAAATAAACCATGGAAATACCAAGGGTTTTTTTTGTTGGTGTTTGTGCAGCTAGTTGTGTTTGAGTTTTTCAATAGGTGGCTTAATCGTGTTTGGCTTGTGTTGTCATTTGGTGTAATCGAATTGCTCTTACGTTACTGTTCTAACCCTTACCTAAGTTGATCGTAGAGTTGATCGTAGAACTATTGCCAGCAACTACGATCCACTAAGGCTTATGATGACTTTGGGAAACACAGCCCTGGTTCTGTGTGGATTGGTCAAAGTAGATGTTGGTGAAACTGCAGGACTAAAAGACCAGCTGAGAAACACAACAGAGTTTAATAGTAATTTTAAAAGAATCATCTTGGTCATTTAGGTCAGTGTTTCCAAACTCTGGTCGCCAACAGGACAGATTTTGAAGGTCTCTCTAATCAGACACACTTTGTTCAGGTGTTAAAGTCTCTACTAACGACTGTTTAATCATGCATGTTTCGTTAATGAGACATACAGCAGTATCCCTCCACGCTTCTGAGAAGGATTTTTATTTGCTCTTTGTTGGCAGTTTTTCCTCCACATGTACGATTGATTTAACAGAGTTTGTAGTTTTATTGTTGTCTACATCACTTTCTAGACATTTGCAGATCAACAACTAATCAAATGGTTCTTTAAAGCCATTAAACAGAGCAAAATGATGCTTAGGATAGCACATTGTTCGTGTAAATATGATCAGAGGTGATTTAGCAACATAATCCAGTTTGATCCGAGAGATTGTTAAAGTGTTAATGTGGAGTTTGTGTCTCACACACACTGCAGATAGTGGATGTTCTGTGGAGTGACCCGATGTCTCAGAACGGTTGTGTCCCGAATGAGGTCCGAGGGGGCGGGTGTTACTGGGGGCCGGACGTCACACAGGAGGTGCTGGACAGACACAAACTGAAGCTGCTCATCAGATCACATGAGTGCAAGCAGGAGGGATATGAGTTCTGCCACAACGGCAGGGTGAGCAGTTTATGTATCCATCCATCCATTTACCCATCCATTCACTATCCACCCATCCATCCATCAATCCATCCATCCATCAATTAATTTACCCTTCAATTTACTATACATCCATCCATCCACCCATTGATCCATCCATTCACTATCCATCCTTTTGATCCTTCTATTCAATATCCATCTATCCATCAATTTACCCATCGGTTAACCTATTCTCTATCCATCCATCCAGTTTTGCTGTAATCTGTTCTGAAGTCGATTGTTTTGCATTTACAGGTTTTGACAATATTCTCAGCCTCTAATTACTATGATGTGGGCAGCAACAGAGGCGCTTACATTCGTTTGGGCCCCGACCTCATTCCTCACTTCAAACAGTTTCAGGCCAGCAGATCGACACGAGAGCTCACACTGAGACAGAGGTGAACACACACGCAGTGTTTCTGCAGTAGTTCTGAAATCAGTTAAGTTCTGTTTATTTTATTTATAAAGCACATATTAAGACAACTAGGGTTGCGTGAGACTCCCGCCATTGAGCCAATTCTCACGCTCTCATGCCACACCCCCGATTTCTCACGCTGAAGTGTCAACCCGGTTGGTCAAATGACTGAAAGATGAGATTTACCTGTTGAGCCACTTGTGATCAACTAGTTATATGGCAAATTAGTTAAAATATCCCATAATCTAGAGCGAGCACGTATGCGAGACAGATGTTGTGCTCGAAACTGCGAGTGTGCACAGCAGAGAGGTTCGCGTATTCTTCACTCGGACTCGCACTTCAGTCTATCGCTGTTGCGGAGACTGCATTCATTCCAGTGAAATCACAAAATAAAATGCACACAAACGTGTCCCTGCTTGATATAGACTGTAACCACTGATGAACATATTCGGTTTTGATGAGAGATGCAGTGAGTGTACCTCGCGGCGCTCCTCAAAAGACTCCCACGGCGGTTTATTGTTAAGAGTGTGTATCGTCGGCGATCTAAGCGGATCGTTTTCTTGATCACTAAAAGGAAAGTTCCCTCATCAGTGTGGGACCAGCTGATTGTCGTTGAGACACTGCAAGGGAAACCGAACGAGTGGGTTCCAAAATCTGAACTGGATTGACGGATGGGGAGCCAAGAGCCTATTTATTGACGTCGTAGAAGCCATGGAAAATGTGGAGCAGACCCTTAAATGGAAAAAGAGTCGTGAGTACAATTTAGCCAGTACTGGGTAACTGTTTTTGAGTGGGGAATTTATTCTTCTTTCTCCTACTGACTATGTGAACTATTTTTGCTGAAGATTACTGTGGGGATTACTGATGGACAATTTTTGAACTGTTTTTTGTTTTTGTTCTTTCATCTTTCATATCAATTTTGAAACACTTGAAAGTGTGCATCTGGTGAATATACATATTTTAATGCAATTCTATGTCCAGTCATATTGAATGGTTGGTGGTCTATTTGAGAGTGATTATTATGGGTATTATTGTACTGATTATTGGTGTGAAATCTGTATCTCATTAAGTGATTTTTTTTAGATGCTCAGAGATCGCCATCACCTCAAATTTCGACCCAAAAATCCACCCAACCAATTCAGACATATCAGTACTTCACAGCGAAACAATCGCATACTTATAGCAAAAAAGAACAAGCTAAAAAAGCCATTCTATCTATATTTTCAATCTCGTCTTGCATACATCAAATTCAGATTCAAATTCAAAATCTCCTTTTGAACCTGTTTTTATAGACGACTCCAATAAACCCGTTATAAGCTTTTGGTTCCAAAAACACCTCAAATTCGTCCTCCAGCAATCAGGCATCTCCGTACAATTTTTCCAGTCACTCCAAACCAAAACCAAAAAAGCCTCTCCCAGCATCAAATCCAGGCTCTCGGAAGATGGTCTTCAGACACTTTCCAAAGTTACATCAGAACCAACCGGTTCCACTTCAAAAAAGCCCATCAAACCCTCATTGACTAAACAATACCGTGAGTCTTGATCTCCCGTCGGGTGATGCGACAACTCATGGTTGAGCATCAGTGCTTTACTTGCTGTCCGCCCGCGAGTCTTACCCGTCTGGAGCGGTGAGCCTGCAACCGGCCGTTAGGACCCTCTCACCCTGACCCTAACCCAAGCTGCTCCCATCGAAGGCTAAATCATGGCGCTCCCGGTCAAACATGGAAGCTTCTTCTGGAAACTCCAGCCTGACAGATCTCGGCACTCCTTTTATTGGGGGGAGGTCTTTAGTCTGGCGGCTGTCCTCGGCTCCTTAGCTTTTCGGGGGAGTACTCTGGGTTAGGGCCACATCCCGAGCTCGGAGCGCTCCCCCCGACAGCACGTCATATATACTTTAAGCTTTACTCCCTGTAATTATATGCAAGTGTGAACATGTGAATTATTGTATCAGATTTAGTGGGATAATGTGAGTGTAAAACATTATTGTGTGTGTGTTTAGTGTGGGACGAACAGAACGTTCTGCATTACAGGCTCTGAGGATGCAGCTGTTCACACACACATCTGCCCTGATTCGAGAATTTCAGGAATACGACCCACAGTGTACAGGTACTACACTACACTACACTAGACTACACTACTCTACACTACACTACAGTGCACAGGTACTACACTACACTACATTACCCTACACTACACTACCCTGTAGACTACACTACACTACACTACAGTGTACAGGTACTACACTACACTACCCTACACTACACTACCCTGTAGACTACACTACACTACAGTGTACAGGTACTACACTACCCTAGCCTACACTCACTAACGGGCAAGTGTGCTGTGCTCAGGTGTGATCTCTGTGAAGCACTGGGCCGAGGCGGTGGAGAAGGTGCTGCGGCTCAGTCTGCCCTGGAGGGTTCTGCGGGCTCAGCTGGTGGGCAACACACGGGACGGGATGCTCAACTACCAGCACTGGCTCAACCAGCTGTCCGTCATCCAGACACACACTGAGGCGAGTGGAGAGAGGGAGAGGGGGCGAGAGAGGAAGAGAAAGAAGGAGAGGGAGGAGGAGGAGAGGAAGAGGGAGGAGGATAAAGTCCTCCCCCCTCTCCTAAAATCATCAGAAAAGTAATCCTGCAAAATACTGTTAATATTGTTAAAAAAATAAACTTTTTTTAGAGAGAGAGAGACTTCTGATGGCTGCAGAGAACACAAGCCACTTTAGTGATGGACTCGACTATCTCAGTAAACTCGACTAGTTCAGTAAACTCGACTAGTTCAGTAAACTCGACTAGTTCAGTAAACTCGACTATCTCAGTAAACTCGACTAGTTCAGTAAACTCGACTATCTCAGTAAACTCGACTAGTTCAGTAAACTCGACTAGTTCAGTAAACTCGACTATCTCAGTAAACTCGACTAGTTCAGTAAACTCGACTAGTTCAGTAAACTCGACTAGTTCAGTAAACACGACTAGTTCAGTAAACTCGACTAGTTCAGTAAACTCGACTAGTTCAGTAAACTCGACTATCTCAGTAAACTCGACTAGTTCAGTAAACTCGACTATCTCGATAAACTCGACTAGTTCAGTAAACTCGACTAGTTCAGTAAACTCGACTAGTTCAGTAAACTCGACTAGTTCAGTAAACTCGACTAGTTCAGTAAACTCGACTAGTTCAGTAAACTCGACTAGTTCAGTAAACTCGACTATCTCGATAAACTCGACTAGTTCAGTAAACTCGACTAGTTCAGTAAACTCGACTAGTTCAGTAAACTCGACTAGTTCAGTAAACTCGACTATCTCGGTAAACTCGACTAGTTCAGTAAACTCGACTAGTTCAGTAAACTCGACTAGTTCAGTAAACTCGACTATCTCAGTAAACTCGACTAGTTCAGTAAACTCGACTATCTCGATAAACTCGACTAGTTCAGTAAACTCGACTAGTTCAGTAAACTCGACTAGTTCAGTAAACTCGACTAGTTCAGTAAACTCGACTATCTCGGTAAACTCGACTAGTTCAGTAAACTCGACTAGTTCAGTAAACTCGACTAGTTCAGTAAACTCGACTATCTCGGTAAACTCGACTAGTTCAGTAAACTCGACTAGTTCAGTAAACTCGACTAGTTCAGTAAACTCGACTATCTCAGTAAACTCGACTAGTTCAGTAAACTCGACTATCTCGATAAACTCGACTAGTTCAGTAAACTCGACTAGTTCAGTAAACTCGACTAGTTCAGTAAACTCGACTATCTCAGTAAACTCGACTAGTTCAGTAAACTCGACTATCTCGATAAACTCGACTAGTTCAGTAAACTCGACTAGTTCAGTAAACTCGACTATCTCGGTAAACTCGACTAGTTCAGTAAACTCGACTAGTTCAGTAAACTCGACTAGTTCAGTAAACTCGACTATCTCAGTAAACTCGACTAGTTCAGTAAACTCGACTAGTTCAGTAAACTCGACTATCTCGATAAACTCGACTAGTTCAGTAAACTCGACTAGTTCAGTAAACTCGACTAGTTCAGTAAACTCGACTAGTTCAGTAAACTCGACTATCTCGATAAACTCGACTAGTTCAGTAAACTCGACTAGTTCAGTAAACTCGACTAAACTCGACTAGTTCAGTAAACTCGACTAGTTCAGTAAACACGACTATCTCGATGAACTCGACTAGTTCAGTAAACTCGACTAGTTCAGTAAACTCGACTAAACTCGACTAGTTCAGTAAACTCGACTAGTTCAGTAAACACGACTATCTCGATGAACTCGACTAGTTCAGTAAACTCGACTAGTTCAGTAAACTCGACTAAACTCGACTAGTTCAGTAAACACGCACGTGTGTTTGATTTTCTCTGTCAGATTGCGAACACAGGTCTGCTGGAGACGCTCTACAAACATCATTCAAACCTGGAAAGCATCTTCAGAATGATCGACACGGACCATTCAGGTGATCAGATGAGCCCTTATAACCGAGTCTGAAAGAGTTTGAGTGTAATCGTGTGTGTGTGTGTGTGTGTTGATCAGTGGTGTGTGTGTGTGTGTTGATCAGTGGAGTGTGTGTGTGTTGATCAGTGGAGTGTGTGTGTTGATCAGTGGTGTGTGTGTTGATCAGTGGAGTGTGTGTGTGTGTGTGTGTTGATCAGTGGTGTGTGTGTTGATCAGTGGAGTGTGTGTGTGTGTGTGTGTTGATCAGTGGAGTGTGTGTGTGTGTGTGTGTTGATCAGTGGTGTGTGTGTTGATCAGTGGAGTGTGTGTGTGTTGATCAGTGGAGTGTGTGTGTGTTGATCAGTGGAGTGTGTGTGTTGATCAGTGGAGTGTGTGTGTGTTGATCAGTGGAGTGTGTGTGTGTTGATCAGTGGTGTGTGTGTTGATCAGTGGAGTGTGTGTTGATCAGTGGAGTGTGTGTGTGTGTGTGTGTCGATCAGGGCTGATCTCGTTGGACGAGTTCCACCAGACGTGGCGTCTGCTGAGCTCTCACCTGCAGACGGTCATCAGTGACGAAGCCATCGCAGAGCTGGCCGACAGCATCGACTTCAACAAGGACGGCAGCATCGACATCAACGAGTTCATGGAGGCGTTTCGGCTGGTGGAGCAGTGCAGAGGCGTGGGGGAAGATGAGCCGGCGCCCGAGAGAGAGCGGGAAACACAGATCGACCTCTAGAACCGCAACGCTCATTAAATCACCAACACGGGAAACTCATAGTGAAACTTTATTAATCATCATATCGACAGTAAAATAGTCCAGCGGATCGGAGGCAAACATTCACACGCAAAAGTCTAAATAAATGAGCTGCGCATCACTGCAGTGTGTGTCGGCTCAGCTGAGTTTGCTGCCGCGCGTGTGCACGCTGTCCTGAAGCCCGTCCTCCACCGTCCTGATGTCGTCCAGGTCGTCTTTGATGACACTGATCAGGTGACTCAAGCCCTCCTGCTGATGCTTCAGGTGCTGAAAGATACAGCGATGACAGTTGTGTTTCAGATAAAGCTGCTCATGTATGAGGGCCGGGTTAGGGTTAATCATGAAAACATGTCATTCATCATGGACAGATGTACTCTTATCATGGGTAGATCATGTATAGATGGCCAAGTCCATAAACGTGCATTTCACTGATCCACGAGGAGGAGTTGAGGGACAGTAAATCATGAGCTTCTGTAATTCTTTGGGTGAACTATCCCTTTAAAGAGCAAAAATAGACACGAGTAATGGAGCGCTGCGGTCATGAAGTCAGACCCCGAGAGGGTGAATAACTGGCCGCTGGATCCTCCAGATGTTCCTCTGGGTTCCTCAGTGGTAAACAGACAATCCTTGAACGATTTCTTCTACACACTCACCGCCAAACGTTCTCTCTAGTCTTCTTAAAAACTAGAAACATGACGTGTTCTCAGTAATTTACGGTGTAGAACAAAACATCCGCTTATCGTCAGCTTGTGTGTGTTTTTCACAGGCTTCATTTCACTTAGAAATGGAAAAACCCACAGGAACATCTACGGCAGGGGTCTCAAACTCAACTTAACTGGGGGCCGCTGGAGGTATAGGTCGGGTCAGGCTGGGTCGGGTCGCATCAAGTATTCCACAAAAGGAGCACAACTGATCCAATCTTCTCTATCTTAATTATTAACGTTTCTTCTGAACTGTTCCTCTGATTTTAAACCTTCCTCTCTGAACATGATTGGTTCTTCATGAGCTGCCCTTCTGACAGCTGAAGTTCATTTTACAAACTTTGTTTTTTCCTTATAACACATCTTTGTGATACTTACATTTGCTCATGTCCTTTTTATTTTCTTTATACAGCACATTACTATGATATTGAATGTTTTTTTTGGAAGGCACATTTCCTTTTATTATACTTGGAAAACAATTATTGGTTTTGAAATACAAATATTAGCCGTCATGTCTTATTGAATTGTTTCTACACATGTATAGTGTCTCAGGAAATTACTGACTTTGCACAAATCAAAGCAAACCTTCTTCTCAACCTGTTGGACACACATAACGAGCTCAAAATGATTATTGTCACGTTGTTTTAGAGCAGGGGACTCCATCCAACACGTCGCTCGTGAGCTGCCAGTGCCTGATTGGGGCCGCATGATTGGTGCAACGACGGGCCGCGCTAACATTATACTGTAATGTCCAGTAGGGGGCCACAAAACATGCCCCGCGGGCCGCGAGTTTGAGACCACTGAACTATGGGAACCGGCGGACAATTATTATTCCTACAGTTTTGACATGCCGCACTATAAATATCTCCAGACTTTCACCAGCTCATATATATATATATATATGAGCAACCCTTCAGAATATAGTTATGAATGAAACTAACGTTTGGTGTGTGTAAAGAGATTCCTGACTCAGACTCAAACTCTAACCCACTGCAAAGATTGAAAACTACAGACGCAAATAGACACGGTGCAATGAAATAAACACTCAAATGGGTATTTTGGATGTTTTCTTTATACTAGCCTGAAAGCAGCAGCAACATGGAGCCTTATTTCTCTCACACACACACACTCACACACACTTGCCTGTTTGATTTCTCTCAGCAGGTCGGCATCCACACGGTAGCGCTCCTCTGAACGAACGGCTCCGAAATGATTCTGCATCCGGATCTGAGACATGAGTTCATTCAGTCTCCCCTGAAAAACACACACAAACACACACACACACGTGTTTGACTGTATCAGTATGAGATCAGCGATCAGGTTGTTGATATTTTCTGTTTAATCCTCGAACCGTCACAGCAGAACTCGACTGCTATAGACGCCTGATTATGAGTCTTTTTTAACCGTCCGGCTCTCTCGTGCGCGTCCAACAGGCTTCACTACATGAGTCACGTGACGAGACGCTGTGTGTGTGTGTGTGTGTCTGATGTTCGCACCTTGAACTGTGTGGGAGCGTTGAGCTCTGATTGGATGGTTTCCAGCTGAACTCTCAGATGTTCCTCATCGAGCTGAATGGCGTAACCGCTCTTCCTCTGCACTTCCTGTTTAATCAGCACCTGAAACACAAGCGAGAAGAGTGTGTGCACACCTGCAGGACTCTGTGTGAGAGGTGTGTGTGTGTGTGTGAGAGGTGTGTGTGTGTGTGTGTGTGTGTGTGTGTACCTGCAGGACTCTGTGTGAGAGGTGTGTGTGTGTGTGTGTGTGTACCTGCAGGACTCTGTGTGAGAGGTGTGTGTGTGTGTGTGTGTGTGTGTGTGTGTGTGTGTGTGTGTGTGTGCGCACCTGCAGGACTCTGTGTGAGAGGTGTGTGTGTGTGTGTGTGTGTGTGTGCGCACCTGCAGGACTCTGTGTGAGAGGTGTGTGTGTGTGTGTGTGCGTGTGTGTGTGCGCACCTGCAGGACTCTGTGTGAGAGGTCCATGAGCTTGCGTTTGTACTGTGTGATTTTGGCGGCGGTCGTGGCCTGATTCCTCTGCAGTTCGCTGATGTCATTAGAGATTATCTGAAACACAGCAGAGAGACGGTCATGTGACGCATCAGAGAGAGGCAGTCATGTGACGCATTGGCTCACTTACGTCCACTCGCGTCTGGTGCTGTTTGCTCATCTGGTCCTGGATCTTCAGTCGCCGCAGCAGTTCTCTGAAGCCCACCATCGGCACTGGAATCAACCTGAGCGGGAAATCACACACTGATGAGGTCACGTGATCGCACCAGTGGCTGACGAGGTCACGTGATCGCACCAGCGGCTGACGAGGTCACGTGATCGCACCAGCGGCTGACGAGGTCACGTGATCGCACCAGCGGCTGACGAGGTCACGTGATCGCACCAGCGGCTGACGAGGTCACGTGATCGCACCAGCGGCTGATGAGGTCACGTGATCGCACCAGCGGCTGACGAGGTCACGTGATCGCACCAGCGGCTGACGAGGTCACGTGATCGCACCAGCGGCTGACGAGGTCACGTGATCGCACCAGCGGCTGACGAGGTCACGTGATCGCACCAGCGGCTGACGAGGTCACGTGATCGCACCAGCGGCTGACGAGGTCACGTGATCACACCAGCGGCTGACGAGGTCACGTGATCGCACCAGTGGCTGACGAGGTCACGTGATCGCACCAGTGGCTGACGAGGTCACGTGATCGCACCAGCGGCTGACGAGGTCACGTGATCACACCAGCGGCTGACGAGGTCACGTGATCGCAAAGATGAGTGAGTTACGGGACGCACTTCTCTGGGTCTGGATTGTCCACTTTGGCCTGTTCCCAGATGATGGGGTCCACACCTATACACACACACACACACACAGACACACACAAGTGGTCAGCAGCGGTCCCCAGCAGCGCGCGCACACACACACACACACACACACACACACCAGCGGGGGGGTTCTGCAGTAACTGCTTGAGTTGAGCAGGGGTGAGCGCGGTGCGGCTGACGGTCATGAACACGCTGAGCTGCTGTAACTGACTCTTCACGTTCATCTGCTCCATGAAGCCGTAGAGCGTGGACGCCGGGACTCGCTTCGACGTGCCGTTCGGAGAGCGTTCCACCAGATACACGATCACCTCGGTCCTACACACACACACACACACACACACACACACAGGATCAGCACGGAGAACCCTCACGCTCTTCTGTTCTCAGACCGCTTCAGAGCAAGGACAAGCAAACGTGAATCACATGCAGGTGACTGAACAGTGTATTATACACACAGTTTTCTACATTAGTTTGCTAGGATTCTGTTTTTTAACAATGCCAAAGAAATGCAGTCAGCATGACAACAGACTTTCATATAGCTACAGTTTTGCAACAAACTCTTTAAAAATAACCATTAAAATACAAAAAACGAAAGAATTTACGCCCCATGAGGAATAACAGTCAATAGTAGGGCTGCGGGAAAAATCGGTTCTTAGATGCATCGCGATGCGGATGATTCTGAATCGATTCACAAATGTCAAATTGATTTTAAAAAAATTTTTCTTTTATGTATATAATTATAATAACGTAATATTGACAAAACTCTGAAGCGCGGAAGCGGCCGGACCGTGGCGTGCACATAACAGAGACGCGATGGCTGAGCGCTAAACCCAAACTCCCTCCGCGTTAAACGCTGACGTGTGGAAATATTTTGGCTTCTGAAGTTGAAGGGGGAAGGAGCTGGACAAGAGCCGCACTCGATGTAAGCTTTGTAGAGTAAAACTAACGATGGAAACACAACAAATATGAGAAGCCATATGACACGTTTCCGGTCAGGGGGGGAAAAACACTTGGTTGGTTCTTTGCAATGTTAATAAAATATTTTGTATGTTAATTCTTTATGGGTCATTACTTTATACTTGACTTACTTACTATACTTTATACATTACTTATACTTTTAAAGCAAAGTATTTATAGTCACAAACACACGAAAAAAAGATTCAGATAATCGATAATCGCTTTAGCATCGAATCGTAGCCCTCTGAACCGAAGCGTATAGAAATAAATAGCCTTTTAAAACTATAGTGTGCACACAAATGAGACTATGTTATAAACATGCAGAGCTGTGAACCGTCAGTGACAGAATCAGAGCATGTAGAACAGAAGTGAGGTCAGAGGTCGGTCTCACTGGTCGTCGGGTAACGCTCGCACGCCCTCCACGTTCACCGTCAGCGTGGGAACTCCGCCCAGGACCTTGTGTAAGGACTCCACCAGATGCTGTTGCTGAGCACGAACATCCGACTCCTTCTTACTGAGAGCCAGAGCCACCAGACCATCCTCGTCCTTCACCCCGGGGACACAGCTGTAGCCCACCGCCTGTGTGTGAGGGAGAGAGAGAGTGTGTGTGTGTGTGTGAGGGAGAGACATACACTACCTTATCTACCACATAGGGATGAGACGATTACCAGTTTCACCATAAAACACGATAAAATGTACTGACGGTTAGTATTATTGTTTGAAATTGAATTATCATTAAAACCGTGTTTGATTATCGCGATTTTAATAGCTCATCATGTCTACAGTCTGACGCAGCGCGCAAGGTTGTTTATTTTTTTATTGGAGAAGGAATGGTGGAAGGCAGTGACTGTGATCGGGAGATTTTCCAAATCTGAGGTGCCGTCATAGTTTGGCTTTTACAAAAGTCCTGCGGGACCCTTAATCGAGGACGGTCACCCTGTCTGCAGAACATGCACACAAAATACACTGTAATAGGGGGAACACTTCACATCACCCACTGTTGAAACTTATAGCGAACGCAAGGCAAGTTACCTTTGACCCCAATACAAAAACTACGTCTGGGAAAAATTAGGCACAAACTGTTATTATGAGTTTAAATATTTTATCTCACTCACTAGAAATAAACGTGAAGCTTCCGCGAAGAAAAGTCTGCAGCAACTGGCTTTGAGGGACAGATGAACAAACGTTCAATTAAGAGTGACCTTTAAGAGATAATAATGCAACTCTATATATTTATTGTACACTTATTATATCGGCATAAGTTGTTTTGAACACTTTCATCTCGTTTTAACAAAACCGTGATATTGATAATCATGATAATTTTGGTCACTAAAATGGAGATATGAAATTTTCATACCGTCCCATCCCTAGTCCCGCCCTGAGTGAGCTGTACACAGGCCCCGCCCACGACTGTTGACTGACATTGCAGTATGTGTGTGTGTGTGTGTGGGTGTGTGTGTGTACCTTGAAGCGGCAGAAGGGGTTCTCCTGGCTGAACTCCACTGGTGGAGCGCTGCTGCTGAAGTAACCCTTGCCTGCTCCCCAGAACGCCTGTAACTGGTTCCATCGGGCCAGAATGGAGTCGCGCTCGTCGTTCAGGACCGCTGGCGCGGAGAGAGCGCTAGCGGTGTTGTAGAGCTGAGAGGAGTGAGACACCTGCTGGTTGAACACACCACCTGCAGAGAGAGAGAGACTTTACAAGCTGGATTTGTACATCCCAAAGGTATCATCTTAACTGGACTAACCATTTTCTTTGAACGAGCCAATTCTTTAACGATCGCTTCATTTTTAATAAACGTTTGAAACGATCACTTCTGTAGCCGGTGCACGTAGCAGAGTTGCCGCCACAAACATCCCCTTCACCAAAAGTCCATTCTCAATTATTTGATTAACAAGCTGTTCAGTCTTCAAAAAAACACAACAGCTTTGTTCATACGCAAAGCAGGATTTATATTTTCGTGACCAACCGGATCACCGACTTCAATCAATACGTCCCCAATCGAACCCTAAACCCGTTCCGGAGGGAAACCGCACTGGTCCCCCCATGGGAGACGCCAACGAGGCCGCAAAAACATTAAACTATCTCAACGGCCCAAAAGAATACAGAAAGATGAAACACCCTCCCAGAATGTTTCAAAGACAAAGAATGAAAAAAAAGATAAATCAATAAAGAAAAAATAAAATAACAATAAATCAGTTTAAAAATACGCAACACACACACCCACATGTGTCTCTCTCTCTCTCACACACACACACACACACACACACACACACACACACACACACACACACACACACACACACACACACACACTCTCACTCATCCACTCAGAGAGACACACACACACACCAGGTTATCATCACTGATCTGTTGTTCTCGTGTTCCTGTATGAGTGTCTCACCCTGTTGTGTCTGAGGCTGAATCCCAGTGATCCCAGTGAAGCCCCCGAACCCCAGTCCAGCTCCTCCCAGCGCACTGAAGCCCGTGCCAGCATTCGTGCCCAGCGCCGACGAGAACCCGAAGCCCTTGTTCTGGGTGTTCCCGAAGAGACTCGCACCTGCACACAGTCGAGTCAGAAAACGCATCACTTCCTGCACACACACACACGTCACGTCCTGCATGAGGACACTGTACCTGTGTTAGCCGGCGTAGAGAAGCTGAAGCTGGACCCGGTGCCGGCCGTCGTTGTTGTGCCGAAGCCTCCGAACGCACCTACACACACACACACACACACACACATATATGAGTAGGGGACACTACACATGCCAAAGGTTGACACAAAAAGTGATGGGATGGACAGAGCGTGACTGACGAGGTCTGTGATTGGATGCAGACACACACACACACACACACACACACACAAACACACACATGACTGATGGATGACGGTGACCATCGACCTCTCAGACTCAATCTACCTGCGCCACTGAGGCCGAAACTGAACCCCGGGGCCCGAAGCAAACGCCCCGTACAATGACACACACACACACACACACACACCAGAGTTAGAGACACTGGAACACCGACCCCAGTCAGTCACTCTCTCACACACACACACACACACACACCAGAGTTAGAGACACTGGAACACCGACCCCAGTCACTCTCACACACACTCACCCGCGCTACCGGATCCGAACCCGAAGCCCGTGGACGCGGATGTCGTGGTCGCGGCTCCGAAGCCAGTGCCAGAAAGACCTGTAACCATGACAACAATCAATCGCTACTCGTCACATAGGGACCGACCCGAGAGCGAAAGGGCGCGTCTCGGGGACCAGGGAGCAGGGAGCAGTGCACACTGCGCAGGGACCGTGGCGAAAGGAACGCACCTGTACTGTATAACGTAGCACATACTTATTAAGCGGTCGTCAAGTAGTGACTTACTCAAAATAAGTACCAAATCAATCGATTGTGCGCTTTCGGATACAGCCCAGCTGATGATGACGTGATGATGATGATGATTGGCGGGAGCTAAACCGAAGCCTCACGCGCCGTTTGTTGTTGAAACGCCGAAAATGGAAGAGAATGATTTAAATGAGAAGCACGGAGTGTCTTCGTCGTCATCATCATCTTCATCAACACCACAACGGACTCATGAACACCGATAGGCGACAACAGCTGAAATACCGGTAACACAATTATGAGACGCGTCTCGTGCGCTCAGTCAGCGGCTGCTCCCATCATTCAACAGTTTTCAGAGATGAGCCACTTTATAAATATACTCGACAGCTTTTGAGATGAAACTATGAATGTTTAAAGGGATTGAATAATAGATATATTCCACTCACTCGCGTTGCCAGCCGCGCCGCCGAAGTTGAACGCCATGTTTCCGGTCCTGCCGCTAAACAGTCCGACTGGAAACAAAGAACAAGCAGTTCCGGCCACACACTCCAGATATCTGTCTAACCCGAGACCTGATCAAGTAAAACCAGTAGGAGACACCACTTTATTGAGCTCTCTGTGAATGTTTGTAGCTGTTTTGAATAAAACCTTATATGTATGTAAAATTTAACTTTTGAAATGGTCATTATTCATTTATAGCGTCATAATCTGTATCTGTATTTTTCACAGACCTTTATGAATCAGAATCAGCACATCTTTGAACTTTAATAAAAAGCTTTATTAACATCTCAGTGTTAACAGACACACATGAAGACAGATCATCGCAGGCCCTTGCGCTTCATCAGCTTCCTCTTCTTGAGCTCGGTGAGCTTCTTCTTCTTCTTCAGGCCCTGGGGTTCGGGGGCCTCCAGCTGGATCTGGGCCGGTTTGGGGTCCGCCGGCGTCAGGAACACATCGTCCGTCACGTCCGGCCGCATCACTTCCTGTTCCTCTGAGCGCTTCTCCTTGCGGATCTCCTTCACCATTTGCCTCTCCTTCTGCCTTTGGGCTGTGGCCAGCCGGATCATCCGCCGGTGCTGCGCACACACACACACACACACACGTTTTAAAACAACTAGCATTGGTCAACTCAACATGCTTTACAAAAACCAAGAAACAAACCATAATATAGAAAAAACACAAAGCAAAATGAAGATAAAGTTTGTTTGGATCTGATGTAAGCCGGTAACTCCATAACTTAAGCCTGAGTGAGGAAGAGGATGATAGAGAGCTCGTACCGTATTGGGCGGCTGGTAGTGAGGGTTCTCGTACAGTGTCGGTCCACCGAAGCTCCCCTGGAAGATCTTGATGAGGTTCAGGACGAAACGAGGGCCAATCTCCACCAGAGACGCGTCCTCCTCAATGATCTGTGGAGAGAGAGAGTGTTCACACACACAGCTGAGGGTGTGTGTGTGTGTGTGTGTGTGTGTGCGAGAGATGCACACCTGATAGTTCCTGAACCACACTCTGTGGTCTGCGATGGTGAAGGAGAGCACGTGATCCACGAACGGCTGACTCTTCGGGTGATACTGAGGCGTGGAGAAGATCTGGCAACATCAGAACACAGTTCACACTACAGCACTGCCGTATGAGGACCACACACACACACACACACACACACACACACACACACACTAATGTTGAATTAAACCTGAGTAAAGAGCTCTTTCAGCAGGGCGTAATGCGGCTCCGTGTCGAACTTCTGTGGACAGATAAACATGTTCAATAGGTAAATGATATCATATATTCGAAATCAGTCTTGTTGTTATAGACACATTTTAGCGTCGGTACAGTACGCTGGAACCTCAACAGAGGCGCTACCGTTTAAAGCGAGCCGTACCGTACCATGCAGTGGAAATACGCCATATGTGTGAGAGAGTCTGTGTGTTTCACTCACCGGGTCGAAGGACAGCAGAGGCCTGGACCCTTTTAGACAGTTTCCGGTCATCTTCAGCTCAGCCAGAGTGTGAACTATAAACAAAATAAATACGGCCTCATGATAGTTATATTGACTGAACACATGCGTGACATTCAGAGCTGGAAGCGGTCAAACACGAGCTCATGATGGCATCAGCCAATCCTAACAGAGCTCATTTACATACAGGTACAGTTATAAAGAGAAGCAATCCATCAACATGATTGTGTGTAAATGCGTTTGAACGCTACCGTTTTGAACCAGAAACTTGGCCGAGGGTCCGTTAGGAACGTTGGAGATCCTGAAACACAACAAGTCAAGTCACCTTTATTTATATTTTTACAACACAGACTGTATCAAAGAAGCTTCACAGTGCTAACATGAAAAGAATATAACAAGTTTGTTTCTAGAAGAAAATTGCACACAATTTGTTGCGAACAACAGAGGATGTGAGCAAACACACTCTCTCTCGCGTGTAATCTGCGTGTTTTCTCACCACATGTAAAGATCCTGCTTTTTCTTGGCTTCAAAGAAGATGCACTTGTTGCAGTTTTTGATTTCACACACCTGAAACACAAGAGCTGAGAATCAAAACATCAGGCCTGTGTGTGTGTGTGTGTGTGTGTGTGTGTGTGTGTGTGTGTGTGTGTGTGTGTGTGTGTGGAAGCAACTGAAGTACCTCGTTAACCACAAACAGTTTGTCTTTTCTGTCCATTTTGGTGTCTGGAAGAAAAACAGAGTGAGATTTCATGTTTCATTTAAATCTGGTCTGAGGCGGTTTAATGGGGTTAAAGCTGGTCTGAGGCGGTTTAATGGGGTTAAAGCTGGTCTGAGGTGGTTTAATGGGGTTAAAGCTGGTCTGAGGTGGTTTAATGGGGTTAAAGCTGGTCTGAGGTGGTTTATAGCTGGTCTGAGGCGGTTTAATGGGGTTAAAGCTGGTCTGAGGTGGTTTATAGCCGGTCTGAGGCGGTTTAATGGGGTTAAAGCTGGTCTGAGGTGGTTTATAGCTGATCTGAGGCGGTTTAATGGGGTTAAAGCTGGTCTGAGGTGGTTTATAGCTGATCTGAGGCGGTTTAATGGGGTTAAAGCTGGTCTGAGGTGGTTTATAGCTGGTCTGAGGCGGTTTAATGGGGTTAAAGCTGGTCTGAGGTGGTTTATAGCTGATCTGAGGCGGTTTAATGGGGTTAAAGCTGGTCTGAGGTGGTTTATAGCTGATCTGAGGCGGTTTAATGGGGTTAAAGCTGGTCTGAGGTGGTTTATAGCTGGTCTGAGGCGGTTTAATGGGGTTAAAGCTGGTCTGAGGTGGTTTATAGCTGATCTGAGGCGGTGTTACCGGCTTTGCTGTGCGGCATCATGGTCTTCAGGTCCTGCATCAGGTGTCTCGTCCTGAAGCTGATCCCTCGAGAGGAAAACACCAACACTCGCTCTTTGTTTGTCCATTTTCCCTGAAGAACAAACATTCAGAACAACATAAAACACTAGATTATTATATCTAAAAGCTACAGACACACACTCACGTAAATGAGAGACATTAACTGTAAATATTCTCATCTTGTTTCTACTGTTTACATCCAGCCTTAAATTCAATGTTTCATTTACATTCCTACACTACAGTTTAACAACACATACATATACATATACACATACATATACATATACACATACATATACATAGATATGCAGACACGCAGTAGTTTGTAAAGACGTGCAGTGATGATGTCATGAATGTGTTTCTCACCGCGCTGACGGGCGGCGGGACGCTGATGATGTTCTCGCGAGAGTTCGGACTCGCTTCTTCTTTATCTAGTGTAAAGGACACGCTCTTCGTCTTTCTCTCGGTTTGTGCTGATTTGTTGCCGTTTAATTTCGCTCTTTTAGCCTTGATCTGCGCCGATCTCTCCGCTGCACGCTTTCCTCCGCGCGCCGCCATCTTTCTTACATACGTCAGCGGAAGCGGAAGTGGACTGATCACACTGGACGAAAACACACAATGAACTCGGAGTTGAATGAAGACACAGGAGAAATGAACGAGGATGATGATGATGATGACGACGATGATGATGAGGAGGAACCGAAAGAGAAAGATGATGATGATGATGAAGGGTTCTCAATGCTGTCAGATCTGCCGGTTGAGATGAGCGAGAGACGCCCGACCTGCCGCAGATGCTGGTGAGAGACACACACACACACACACACACACACACACACACACACACACACACACACACACACACACACACACACAGTCTCTGGTTTACTATCTTGGTTGGTTTTTACACTGTACAAACTGTATATTCTACCCCCTTACACTGCCCTAACCCTACCCCCCCCCCCCCCACACACACACACACAGCCTAACCCCCCCCCCACACACACACACACACACACACACACACACCCTAACCCTACCCATCACAGGAGCTATTCTGCATTTTTACATTTTCAAAACAAAAATAATTCTGTATGGTTTGTTTACCCCATTTAGGCCCACAGTGACACGAGTCCCCATGAGTCTTCAGGTTTAAGTCCCCACCGGGATAGAAAAACATGTACACACACACACACACACACACACACACACACACACACACACACACACACACACACACACGTGTTCGTAACAGTAAGTTGTGTGTTGTGTCTCCATCAGTCGGCCGGTAAAGGTGTGTTTGTGTCCGTATCTCCCGGCTCTTCCTCTCGACGTCTCCACATCTCTCTACATCGTCCAGCATCCGGCCGAGGTGTGCACACACACACACACACACACACACTGTCTCTGAACACCTCACACACACTCTCCCTGACGCGTCACATGACCCTCCTCTCGCCCGTCAGGAGAGTCGTGTTCTGCGCACGGTTCCGCTGCTGGCGGCCTGTCTCGCTCCGGGGAAGTGCAGAGTGTTCGTGGGACGCCGCTTCTCTGAAGATAGGTGAGTGTGTGTGTGTGTGTGTGTGTGTGTGTGTCTCAGGTCGGGCGTCTCTCGCTCATCTCAACCGGCAGATCTGACGCCATCCTTCTTATGATGTACCGAGTACGTCAGGATTCACGGGACGTGTTCCCGGTTCCGGCTGATCTAAACTGTGCAGCCTAATTTGACCCACCCAGAACATTACAATAATCTAGAATGAACGCATGAACTAACTGTTGCGCATTCCGATGAGAGCATATGACGTCATTTAGATGTATTTGTGTGTCGAGACTCCCGCAGGTGTGTGTGTGTGTGTGTGTGTGTCAGGTACCCTGATCTGGCGGCTGTGTGTCGAGACTCCCGCAGGTGTGTGTGTGTGTGTGTCAGGTACCCTGATCTGGCGGCTGTGTGTCGAGACTCCTCCTCTCTCCTGCTGTATCCCGGAGCCGCTGCCGAGAGTCTGGAGGATCTGAGCTTCAGTTCCGCGACTCACAGCGTCATCCTGATCGACGGCACCTGGAGTCAAGCTAAAGACATGTTCCTGAGGAACCCTCTGCTGCAGCTGCCCCGACAGGTCACACACACACACAACCTGTCACTCGTGTGAGATCAGCCAATAGGAGCCCAGCGAGTGTTTACCTGTCCTCTGTGCCGCAGGTCCAGCTCCGCAGCGCCCCCTCCAGTCAGTACGTGATTCGCACACAACCCAACAACATGTGTGTGTCCACGCTGGAGTGTGCAGCCGTCGCACTAGCCATCATGGAGAACAACCTCAACATCCAGGAGGTGTGTGTGTGCGAGTGTCTGATAAATGTGTGTGTGATATATGTGTGTGTGTGTGTCTAATATGCAGTGTTGTGCCTTGAACGCGTTCATAATTTGTTCGAACTGAACGTACTGTATTACTGCCTGATGTGAACGCGTTCATTCTGGTGTGTGTGTGAACGCACGCTCTCTCAGTTTAACATCGTACAATAGGGTGCCAGATTTCTATAGAGCCTTCCAGGTGAAAACCCCCCTAAACACACGTAAAGAGGCCTTAATATGTAGCGAAAAAACACCCAATCTGGCAACACAAGACACCAGTGTCGCGCCGCCGTCGAGCGAGGAGGCGTCGTATGATCATTTAAACTGCTTTTTTGACGAGGTGGGTAAGGATGGGAAAAATCATACATTTCTATGCAAACTGCCCGTCGATGAAAAAATTGTTGTCTGTGGTTTTATATGGGCTGTGGCAATAATAAAAATAAAAAAGCTCGCAACTTATGGGAAAAAAAATAACTATGAATGAACTAGTGAATTTTAAAATGAACTTTGAACTAATGTGTGTGTGTGTGTGTGTGTGTGTGTGTGCAGGTTCTCCTCAAGCCTCTCCAGGCGCTGTGCTCCTTCCAGCTCCAGCACGGCGCTCAGGTCCACCACAGCAAAGAGCAGCTGATCAGAAGCGGCCAGTACAACAAGATCCTGCCCAAGAACAAGCGCAAGATCCGCCGCATGCAGAGGCTCCTCGGCCACGACACATGACACTTCACTAGCCAAATACCCTGCTCAGCTTTTATATTGTTATTCGTTTTTTTTTTGGTAATTTGTCTGTTTTAACATGAGATGATGGTTTACTAATATAGACTTCTGAGTGGATGAAACTGCATCTTCTGTGTGTTTGTTGACTGTGATTGGAGAAATAAAGCGGAGTGATTGTGTGAGACTGTGTTTTGCGCCCTCTGGTGTCTCATTACTGTAGCGCAGCTGAGAGACTGACTGAATAACATCCGAGATTTTAAAAAGCCAATCAGCTCACGAGAATGAGCTCCCCGAACCTGCGCTTGACCAATCACCTGAGGGAAAATACATTGAAGGCGGGTTCGACGCTTCCGATTGGCTGTCCAGCGTATTGACATCGTGCAGAAATGCAGAAATCAACGGGCTAAAATCACCTTCATATTCGCCAACACGGTACGACATGATCATATTTATTTATTCATCCATTTACGTGCTCTCATTCATTATAGATGTTTGATCAGCTGTTTGTGATTTTAGACGCTTTCTGAAAGTTTGTAAATTAAGTTACTTAAGAAAACTTATTTAAGAGTTACAATTAGAATTACAATAGTTGATTTTATTTTGATTTAAATGCATCAGATAAAGTCAGTTTTGAATAGTTTGCAGTTCAGCTAGGCAGTTATTACGTAAATGATATGCAAATGAACACATCGTTATTAGCAACACAATTTGTTGTTATATTTAATATTTTATATAATTAATATTTTCTTATGTGACCCAGTTGTTAATCACATGATAATAGCTGTTATATTGTGTTTCAGATGATAATATCAGTAATATCGTGTTTATATGGGCAGTTAGTACATATTAATAACACGATAATCTGAATAGCTAATCGTGTGTTTAGATGGGCAGCAGTAAATTAATAACACGATAATATGAGTAATGTTGTGTTTAGATGGACAGTTTATCCCGGCGGCTTCGGGAGACGCTCGTCTCGTATCACAGTCTGAATGAAACCGAGTGGAACATCGCTAAGAAATCAGTCAGTTAACTCCCTTTAAATCCTGTCAGTTCGATGTTTCCCGCGTGAGTTTAGCGCGTTTCAAACACGTCAGTTCTCCTTCGTTTCTTTCAGAAGGATGTGACCGTTTGGAGGAAACCATCGGGGGAGTTCAGCGGCTTTCTGTGAGTTTAAAGTCGCTAAACAGCTGCACCAATCGGGGGAACCGGTTATGATCGATGGTTTGTTTGTGCAGATATAAAGCCGAAGGAACTGTGCCGGATAACCCGCGCAGGATCATCGAGTTCATGATTCCCGGACCCCGCAGGATGGAGTGGGACAGTCTGATGACGTCACTGGAGATCGTGGAGACTCTGGACGAGGTGAATGTCCATGTTAATGTGCAACTGAGTTATGAAGCTGGTGAATGTTCAACAACACGCGAGAAGCTTTCCATAAAGACCCTACACATCATTATTTTTAGATTATTCTTACAGTCTTGCAGATTTATGTCTGCCACGCGCTGTAATTAAACCGCAGGGTTAATCATTCTATGAAAGCCCTTAAACGCTGAAAGCCTGATATGAAATCATTGTCAGACTTATATATATACACACTCACCTAAAGGATTGTAAGGAACCCCACACTAATACTGTGTTTGACCCCCTTTGGCCTCCAGAACTGCCTTAACTCTACGTGGCGTTGATTCATCAAGGTGCTGAAAGCATCCTTTAGAGATGTTGGCCCATATTGATAGGACAGCATCTTGCAGTTGATGGAGATTTGTGGGATGCACATCCAGGGCACTTATATACATAATTATTTTAAACAGATATGCACCACATCTCACAGACAATAGGCCTACAACACATATCCAACATTTCATTAAAGCTGTTGTTAACTTTTCACATACTGATAAGTATTGCTTGATAACATTGTGTATTTTCTTAACTTCTCTGCTGTAAAATAATAAAAAGAGAACACATTAGCAATAGTAAACTAAATAGAAAACAGTAAACTTAATTGTAGTAAAAACCACACAGAATAGGCCTACCACCTCTCCATCCACATCACCAGTTTGATCAGTGAAGGATGTGCCTGGATGTTCTTACATAATGCAGCGTTGTTAGGCCGAATGGGGGACCGTTTCAGTCTTAGATCATTTTCCACAAACACTCTGTACTTGCTCTCGAATATTTTGTTAATAGAAAAAGTGCGATCATGTCAGAACAGAACATCAATGAAATGTTTACCCGGCAAAGCTTTAAAGCACGAGCAAATAATGAACTTTTGTGATTGTGAATAAGTGCAGTGTCCTGCGAGTGTGACTCTACCGCTGCATTAACACATGATGTGTTGAGCTGATATAATGTGCGCTGTAGCACGATACTGCCATATTCAGTTTGCATTCTTATCGTGTTTCCACAACAACGTTAGTGAGTAAATCTACTGAAATCCAGTGGAGTGTGATGTGTTAGATGTAGGTCTATCTTTTTAATTTACTATTAGTAGTAGTTAACATAATGTAGACCTACGCCAAAAAATGAGTTGACTTGCTATCCTAAGTTTAACCCTAACTCCGTCAGAGACCTGACCCTGACCCTAACTCTAACCCTGACCCTAACTCTAACCCTGACCGCGATCGGCAGGTTATCGGATTGAGTTGGTCATCCAGAGCCTTGATGATGTGCGTTATATGACTGAGTATTTTACAGGGTTAAATCTGTGTTTCTGTGTGTCTCGATAGAAGTGTGTGCAGAGCTGAGCTGGAGTGTGTGTGTGTGTGTGTGTGTGTGTCCAGGGCTGCTGTGTTGTGAAGTACTCTACTGCTGGCCAGCTGTGGAACATCATCTCTCCACGGGAGTTTGTGGATTTCTCCTACACCTGTGATTATCAGCGCGGCCTGCTGTCCTGCGGTCAGTGTCTCGCCCATCAGCTCGAGCCGCACGCTGGAGAAGCTGACTCCTGACTGTGTGTGTGTGTGTGTGTGTGTGTGCAGGCGTGAGCGTGGAGCACTCGGAGCAGACCCCCGGGCTGGTTCGGGGCTTTAATCACCCGTGTGGCTGGTTCTGTGTGCCGACGGAGGATCCCGCGGTCAGTCTTCTGACCGGCTTCATCCAGACGGACCTGAGGGGAATGATCCCGCAGAGCGCAGTGGACACGGCCATGGCTGCGGGACTGGTGCGCTTCTACCGGGAGCTGACACGCGCGCTGGCCGCCGAGCCGTCATGACACACACACTGAAGACACAGCTGCTCTCCTCAGACACTAAATAATCCTCACAGGACACTTATTTATTATTGCACCTCATATTTTGTTTTTGTCCGTGTTTACTTTTACTGTTTTACTGGTTAAATGTTTTACTGGTTAAATGTGATTACAAATATTGGTATTTTTCCATAAAATTATGTTTAAAAAAATCCTATAAATCATCTCTCTCTCTCTCTCTTTGAGCGACACACAAACACATGTGGACTTTATTACAAATAAACAAATCACAGTTCATTTGTGTTTCCATATTGACTGCATGTCTGTTTGACTGATATGCTCTGATACTTTATTTTCCTCATATCGATGAAATATTCAAAGGCTACCAAACAGGTGGAAGGTGAATAAATCTTTTTATTCTTATTAACCCTTTCATGCATGAATTCTGACAACCTCAGTCAGGATTGTTTTTCGTAGGTGTTGTTATTGCTTTTAGGGCATCAAGTGAAAAACTAGCGATCAGGAGTTTTCAATCTCTTCTGAAATGAGCACTGTTGGGAGTAACATGCGTTACTTAATCGGATTACTTTTTTTATTTAAAGTAACGCATTAAAGGTAACATGCATTATATTGGCTAATATGTTAATAACACATTAAAGATAACAAGCAAAGTAAGGCATTGAAGGTGACGTGCATTACGTAATTGATTACTTTTTTTAATCATTGTTTTTGACATGAATACGAAATGTCTCTTGTGGCGCGCGCACAGTCTTCACTCGGACACGCGCTTCGATCTATCGCTTATCACCGTTGCAGACACTCTATTCTCACCGGTGAAATCTCTGAACAAAATGCACACAAACGTCAAGTCAAGTCACATTTATTTATATAGCGCTTTTCACAATACAGATTGTATCAAAGCAGCTTCACAGTGATAACATGTAAGTAGCACAACACAGATCAACAACATTGCTAAACACTAAATAAATAACCCCAACTGAGCAAGCTCAAAGCAAGTCAAAAGCAAGGCGACAGTGGCAAGGAACCAAACTCCATCAGATTGGATGTGTCTGTTTGTCTTGTGTGACAAACGTGTGTCTGATTCCGTTTCTGACATCGCAATGTTATTTCTTTCGAAAATTCTTATTGTATACATATATTGTACTGGACATATATCTGATTTAGCACCCCCACCCCTTTCCTCCCAAGCTAAAGTCAGTGACATCACTCTTTATATGTTACATGACGTTACAACATTTTTTTTTACCTGCAAGAGTCTCCTAAAGAATAGATATTTCAGGGCAGCTCTGCATCTGTGGCGTCAGAGGACGTTAGCTTTATTTATACCATCACTGGGGGTGGTGGAGGCGCAGTGGATAAGACACATGCCTTTGGTGTGAGAGATCCAGGTTCGAATCAATGTGTCCCTGAGCAAGACACTTATAACCCCTAGTTGCTCCAGAGACGTGCGACCTCTGACATACGTATATATAGCAATTGTAAGTCGCTTTGGATAAAAGGGTCAGCTAAATGAATATATGTAAATGTTACACTCTAAAAAATGCTGGGTTGTTTTAACCCAACTTTGGGTCAAATATGGACTAACCCAGCCGTTGGGTTAAATTTTTACATTACATTTTTAACCCAACATTTCGGGTTTGTCCATATTTGACCCAAAATTGGGTTAAAACAACCCAGCATTTTTTAGAGTGTATACAGCGCTTTTTACAGCACCGTTTCAGCAGCTTTACAGAGATAACAGCAAAATAATTCAACCAAGTTTGTTTCCAGAAGAAAATAGCTTCACAGTCCAGCAGAAGTCAGTTCAGTGATGGTTCATTTTTGATGTAAAAAAATATTAATTTAGTTAATTTATTATACATGTATACTGATGTCACCATCCAGGAGATCAATAATATCGCTGCATATTGAGTGCGAGTCCGCTAGGTGGCGGTGTGTAGGTGATGCACATGTGTCTGCAGAGCTGTCCTTAAATTAGCATAATAGTGGTTTTCAGGAGATGTTTTTATCCAAAATAACTTACAAATGAGGAAATCAAAAATCCCCACTTGGCTCTATCCGAGAAGCAGAAACATGAAACACTGCAAAACGAACAAAGATGTTCGGATGGATTTTGCTAAATCATATCTGTGAAAGCCAGAAACCTGTGTGTTTTAGGTGCTCCATTTTAACCAGTTATTTTTTTTATCTATTTATTTATTTATTTATTTCATTTTAAAGGGTCCTACAGCGTGACGAACGAACTTCAGGGGGAAAAGACTGAATAATAATGCAACGCCATTCAACATTTTTTAATTAAACAAAAAAGTGCATTCTGTTTTATTTAACGCATAGGAAATGTAATAGTAGAAACTAAAATTATATAATTAAATTTATATTGTGAATAAAAACTTGAATATTTTATTATTTTCCAACTTTTTTTATTATTATTATTTCCCAACTTTTTTTTTTTTTTAATTCAACAATTGCACAGTTTACAAGAACATTCCTCTCCATTATAAAAGAAAATACATTGTGCAGTTTCCAATATTGCAAGTATAACATAAATTATTATTTCCCAACTTCAATGTCCGTTTGAACCACGATGACGTTGAGGCACAAACCCCGCCCACTGACGCAGCAGCTTCTGTGCGTGCGCGCGCTCGCGGCGTAACGAGTGATCGCAGTGGAAGTTCGTGCGGATCTATGAGTGTGTTTCTGAATCCCGATCCGTGAACGAGGTTCGGTTCTCCAGGTTCTGATGCGCTCCGTGGCGTGAGCATGAGAGTCTGACAGCCGTTAACGGGACACACATGCTCGGGTTAGGTTTGATCCGGTGATGCGGTTCGGTTCGGGTCGGGTCTCCATGACAACAGAATCAGCGGAGTGAGTAACCAACTTTAGTAAATAAACACAAACACTTTTACCTTGACGCTGGAGATATTAATAAACGACCTAACAGCAGCCGTTGGGAAGATTGAAGCTTTAGGAGGTTGTTTTGTTTGTGGGTTTGGATTATTGGTGTTTTGTTGTAGTTCTGCGGGCGCGCGCGTCCTTTAAGATCCACTGACGGGAAAATCCTGTTTCTGTTTCGCTTTGAATCCGGAGGGTTTTTCCGGCGGTCATCCTCATGTTCACACACGCACACGCACACACACACGCACGCACGCACACACACACACACACACACACACACACACACACACACACACACACACACACACACACACACACACACACACACACACACACACACACACACACACACACACACACACACAGGAGACGTGACTCGGTGGATATGAACAACTCAACCCTGACAAACTGGGAGAATAATACTTCGTCTAAGTATGAACACTTTTTGGGGGCTTTTCAAGATTTTTCCCCTTTTGGATGAAGAAATGTTATATGATATTGTTAATGTTGTTGTCAAGGTATTTATTTCATTAGATGTAGTTATTCTTATCTGGTAATACGGGTCTGGAACGGGCGTGAGAGGGTCACATGATCAGGAGATGTCGATACCGACGATGCTTCATTTCTGAAAGCTGATGTATTGATAAAGCTAAATCGTTTTTTAAGACCCTGATTAGAAAAGCAGAAGTATCATCATGTCCCAAACACATATTTCAATGTCCTCATGATGATTATAAGCCGATATGATGGACTTGTGTTGCACTGAAACATATTTACTTTTTTAAGTTATTCCACTCATATTTTATATTTCATGTAGCGGTTGTTTCTCTGCGTTGTTATTTTAGACGTTTTGAATAAAATAATTTTCCACACAAAGCTGGTTGTGCTGGAAGGTGACTTTCATAACGGATCCTGTGTGATAAACCATATAAACAGACAGACACTGTTAACCGCAGCTCTTTCGCCTTTTAACCACAAAACACATGTTTAAAAACACCAGTCAGTTAACTACAAAACACACAGAAATTGCAACGTAAACTAGAATATATCTTTAGTATGCGTACCAAACATTCACATCTCTCTATACACATATATATATATATATATAGGCTGCGCCACTGCTGAAGAGTCTCTCTGCTAATGGGAATAACGCTGACCCTGTGTGTGTGTGTGTGTGTGTGTGTGTGTGTACTCTCGCAGCAGCTCATGAAGTGTGTGTGTGTGTGTGTGTGTTTGTGTTCTCATTTGCGAAATTAAATGTCAGAAGCTTCTTTGTTTTATCCGGTGACAGAAATGAGTTTCCATCGTTATCATAACTCAGCCCTTCAGTGCTGCTGTGTGTGTGTACGCCAGATAACAGCACACACACACACACACACACACACACACACACACTCTCTCTCTCTCTCTTTCTCTCTCTCTCTCATGCACACACACACACACACACACACACACACACACACACACACTCTCTCTTTCTCTCTCTCTCTCATGCACACACACACACACACACACAAATGAACCTCAGATATTGCGTAGGCAAGCACGCTCCTGCAGTTGTTCTGCTAAACGAGCTCGTCATCATGACATCATCGTGACATCATCATGAGGAGCGGCTGATGACTGTGGGGGATGTGCTGATGATGTGTGCTGTGTGTTATGTATTATGAGTTTTTTCCTGAGAAGCTGATGTTGTAAACTAAAGAGTGTGTGTCTCCGCAGGTGAAGCTCTGATGGTTACCATGGAGACGGCTGTGAGCGGGAAAAAGTGCAGCGCCGCCCTGCTGGTGCACCTGTACTGGTGCAGAGACGAGCCACTGACTCTCCCAGCAGGAGAATACACCGCTGAGGAGATCTGCATCAGCGCCGCGCAGGAGTGTGGTGAGTGTGTGTGTGTGTGTGTGTGTGTGTGTGTGTGAACACTGAGGAGATCTGCATCAGCGCCGCGCAGGAGTGTGTTGTGTGTGTGTGTGTGTGTGTGAACACTGAGGAGATCTGCATCAGCGCCGCGCAGGAGTGTGTTGTGTGTGTGTGTGTGTGTGTGAACACTGAGGCGGATCTTTAGCATCCGATTAGAAGACGAGCACATGAACTACGACAGAAACAGAAACACATCAACTGAAGAAATCCCTCAAACCGTGTGCGTCTCAGCGGAGGCTGTGATTGGATAACTGGAGTAACCAGCGGACCAATGGCATCGCAGCGTCTCTAGTGGAAGTGTGTGATCAGAGTGAATGGGTGTAATGCCCTCCAGAAGCGTCTCACACACACGAGTGTGTTCCCGGAGTTAGCTGGCGCTCGAGACACACTCGTTTGTGATGGTACAGAGACTCGCTGTCATCGCTGATGTTTCACAGGAAGTGATGATTCTGTTCTCTTGAGCTCATGGGATGGAAACGCTGCTTTATTCGCAAATGTTTTCTGCCGTATTCCAGTTTTGCGCAGAAGTTAAATTGAATGTTAATATTCATCAAGCGTTTCATGGCGTCACGTGTCATCGGTGTAATTACATTATGACAGTAAGATCTAAGATGTGTGTGTTCAGCGTGTTCAGAGGGCGAAGGCTTGCTTCTGCAACACTGTGGCAGGAGTGTGAATGTTGGGTGGTAAACTTCCTGTTCCCACTCTCGCCACTTCCTGTTTACCCATCTGGGGGTTCAGGGTTTCAGTAAGACAGTGCATGACACTGATCTACTTTACAAGAAAGAGGAAGCAGCTCCACCCATCTGTCCTTCTCACACACACACACACACACACAGAGACAGAGTGTGTGTGTGTGTGTTGGTCACTGCTGATGTGTGAGAGGTCAAAGGTCACTAATGTGCTGATGTGTGTGTGTGTGAGACAGGTGTGAGCCCTACGCACCTCAGTCTGTTCGGGCTCATGAGGGAGCGAGACCGTGTGTGGCTGCCGCCCAATCACGTGCTGAAGCTGGAGGCGTCAGCCAATGAGACGCTGCTGTTCCGGATCAGGTGAGCCTCCGCGCCGGTGTCGTGTGTGTGTGTGTGTGTGTGCACGGCTCTGTCTCACTGCTCTCCGCCCGCAGGTTCTACTTCCCCGGCTGGACCGGAGCCGGCCCGCACTCGGCCCGCAGGTACGGGGTCAGCAAGAGTTCAGAGGCACCTGTGCTCGATGACATCACCATGGCGTACCTGTTCGCTCAGGTGAGGAGAGCCTCGACTACGGCTCGTGATTCGGTCTGATTAGACAACACAACTATTATTATCGTTAGAATATAAAACCAAGTCAGTAAAATGATCCTTCGATTAGTTTTTAGCGCAGGTCAGGGGTCAGCGATATCGCTCGACACACCTCTAGAGCCGTCTTGAATATATTCCAAACAGCGAAGCTTCTTTGCAGAGACACACCAGCTTTGCATTTCCAGCTCTGAGTGTGTGTGAGTGAGTGTGTGTGTGTGTGTGTGTGTGTTCTCTCTCCACATGCTAACTTCTCTCTGCACTGGCGTGATAGCGTAGCTCCAGCACGCTAACAATTAAACAAACGCAGTTTAGTACGTGAGGATGCCAAGGAATAATTCTGTAAAAGTAGGGTTAGGGTTAAATAATGTCAAATAATTATTAAAGTAAGTTAGGCTCCATTGTGTAACAAGTTAATTAAAATGATACACATTTATTATTCACCATATGGAAAGAGGAAATAAAACATAGTTTGTCAAACGTGCCGGTAACGGGCTTATTCAAGTCCTCTTTTATATTTTGAGTTATTTTTATCCCGTGTGTTTCAGCAAGCCGGATGTGTTGCGAGATGCGCGGTTGTCACAGCCTTTGTTTATTCCCTGGGTTAGACACTAGAGGTCCTCAGTGTTCACGGTGTCTATGCATTCTCACTACATTTCCCATGATCCCGTCTGTCACTGATTGTTTATTGCCTTACAGCTGTTTCTGGTCACCCTGTTATACTGTCTGTGTCGGTGTTTGTCACCGAGTCGAGTACGTCGGCCCCACACTGCCGGTGTTATCTCCACTCGGTTTCTAGTGTTTGTCTTTTATGTTTTTGGATTTTGACCTTTGTGACCTTATTGACCTTTGTTGACCTTTGCAAATTGCTTTGTTTGTTTACGAGTCGAGTTTTCCTTTGCAAAGCAGATTGTGTGCATAATGCTGGATTTGTTTGTTTAATCATGGCACATAATTTGCTGTGAAGATATGTCTTCTTCCTCTGTTGTAGTTTTTTTGAAAGTGCAGAATCTTGACGATCAGATCATTGAAAATGGCGTTATGATCAACATGACTTGATGTGAGTCACTCCATGCGGCGTCTTCTAAAATCACGATTTCAAATGTGCTGCGGTTCACATCTCACGATTCACGAAGCGTTGGAGCGTGAGCTAGTTCGCTTCGGGGGCGGGGTTAGCCGGCTAACGATCTCTAGGGTGGAACCAGCGGCTCTGAATCACGTGATGTCGTGCAGATAGGAGAGACAGGTCAGCATGGTTTTGGATTCTCTGGAGCGAACGCTGGATCTCTAAGTGTGAAACATGAAGGGAAAACATTTATGGTTTACGCTAGGGCTGAACGATTAATTGCATTTGCTGCGATTACACTGGTCACTTGACACGCGGGAGAAAAGCAGTCTGCAAGATAAAGCATCAACTTGCCACGCTACGCGGTCTGGCGTCCAGAAAAGAACAGTTTATTGTGTTGTTTATTCTCTCCTCAACAATCCTGGATCGATTCAGAGAATTTCAGAATCGAGTATGAGCTTATAGTTTTTAAACACAGATGCGTGATGACGCTGCGCGTGCTTTAGAAACGAACCGTGTTCTGAATCTGCTTGCTTCTATTTTCTCGCTCGCTCTCTTCCTCACACACACGACACCGCTCGAACCTTACAAAACATAGTAACGTTATTTTATAAAGGTCAGGGTTGAACCAAATTACAAGGACATTCGCGGGCTTCATTGAACAGGTTTTGCCGCTTTGCTTGATGTTATAACGTTACACTGTTGCAGTGCGCGTTCTCTCCCGCGGGAATTTTCTTTACAAATGCTTCACAGAGGCATTATTTATGTCTTTTGGAATGCAGTCGGCTTATATTTTAAAACCATTAAAATCACTGAGAAGGCTGCTTTCATTTCAAAATACTAACGCGTGCTTTGTGAAGAGCGCTCGTGCATGCGGCCGTGAGCGACTCATTGATAAATGTACTTGCATGTCAAAATGCTTTTATGACGCAAAATTAATGTAAACACGGTCAGTTATATCTTAAACCAACAGGACAAACCACATTTACAATTTGAAAAGAGATATATATGCATTAGTGTGTATGCAGCTTATCGTATCTAAACTGAGGGGAAATCACTCCAGCTCTTGAATGAAAAACATTCAGACAGCCTACTTTTAAATACTGAGACCACTCTTTCTTTATTGCTTGTAATGTTTTTTTTTGTTTCTCTTTATTTACTAGCTTTTATATTTTGAAGCTATATTATTTTATATAGCCTATTTAAAATTCTTAACATGTAATTGGTTTAATTAAATGTTTTTTTATATTAGTATGTGTTTTTACACATGTAATTAAATCCATATTTTAAGAGTTATTAAGATTAATTAATAAGAAAAAAAGTAGATCGGATCATGAGCTATCTAAAGATTCCCATCCCTACTGTACAATGATTTATTGCTTGTCTTTGTCCACTAATACAGAAGGTAAATAACTTTTTTTTTTTAAATCGCATATTAAATCACAATCGCAATATTGGTTAAAAAAATCACAATTAGATTATTTTCCAAAATCGTTCAGCTAGTTTACGCAACAACCGGTATTATGAAGTGCTGTGATGTTGGGCATATAACAAACTGTTATAATAAAGCTGTATTTAAAATTCTCTCTCCCTCTTCCTCCCTCTCCCCTGCCCTCCCTCTCCACCCCCCCCCCCCCTCTCTCAGTGGAGGTCAGATTTTCTGAGTGGCTCGGTCAGCGTTCCCATCAGCCTGGAGTTTCAGGAAGAGTGTTTGGGATTGGCTGTCATCGATATGATGCGTTTGGCCAAAGAAAAGGGCAAATCCCCTATTGACATCTACAACCACAACAGGTGAGACTCATAAAATGACCTCTGACCTCTGACCTGGCCTAGCCTGACCTCTGCTGTCTGGATCCGCAGTTACAAGTCGTTCCTCCCGAAGAACATGCGGGCACACATCCAGAGCCAGCACTTGGTGACCCGGAAGAGGATCCGCTTCCGCTTCAGGAGGTTCATCCATCAGTTCGGCGCGTGTAAAGCGTGTCCGCGTGACCTGAAGCTGAAGTACGTGCTCAGCCTGGAGTCGCTGCAGCCGGCCTTCTTCACCGAGCGCTTCCTCGTCACCGAGGCCAGCGCCGGGGCCGTCACCATCGTCGTCAACGGCAACCAGGGCATCCGCTGGTCCCGGGGTCAGGAGGCCATGGACCCAGAGGTGCGTGTGACATCATCAGGGTACAGCTGAGCTTCGTTGCACAATTAATCTAAAGAGTAATGCTCCCGTTGCATCAGTCAGGAGCCCGAGAGGTGTGTGTGTGTGTGTGTGTGTCAGTCACAGTCCACGTCTGTTGAGTGCATTGACCAATCAGAGGCGTTTTCTAGGGCTGTCGAATGGCTGAAAACACACACCGTCATTTTCATCATCTACACACACTGATCACCTACACACACTCATCACCTACACACACTGATCATCTACACACACTGATCATCTACACACACTCATCACCTACACACACTGATGACAGAAGTGTCGCAGAAACACACACTTCATCTGTAGGTGAAGATACACACAGTGGAGGAAGAGTTTCATGGTGTTTATTTGCTGTTGTTTGTAATTAGTTTATTTGTTCTTATTTTGTTTAATTGACTTTAATAATGTTTAATGTCTAGTAGTTTTTGTGTTATTGAAGTTTCCCACACTGACCTGAATATGGACGAGCGAGACGAGCGATGCTGAACTCTCTCTCTCTCTCTGTGTGTGTGTGTGTGTGTTCAGGATCTGCAGGTTTACTGTGATTTCTCTGAGGTCATCGACATCAGTGTGAAGCAGGGCAGCCGAGACGGGTCTGTGGAGAACCGGGTCGTCTCCATTAACAGACAGGACAGTCAGATCCTGGTAACACACACACACACACACACACACACACACACACACACACACACACACACACACACACACACACACACACACACACACACACACACACACACACTCACACACTCTCACACTCACACACTCACTCTCACACAGTCTTACACACTCTCACTTGAACTCGCTCACACACATGTCAGTCGGGGTCAGTCGGGGTCAGTCGGGTCCAGTCGGGGCCAGTCGGGGTCAGTTGGGGTCCAGTCGGGGTCAGTCGGGGTCAGTAAGTCACCTAAATGGTACTGGGTCGGACTCGGGTCTTGTTTTAATCGGGTTGGGTTTTTCTTTTTTTAATTGTATTTTATACACGTCGTGTTCGGGTAAGGAGTGATTCGGGTCGTGTTCATATTTTAGGATCCGAGAAGACCTCTAGTCTGAGTGTGTGTGTGTGTGTGTGTGTGTGTGTTTCCCACAGGAGCTGGAGTTCGGTTCTCTGACTGAAGCGCTGTCCTTCGTGTCTCTGATCGACGGCTACTACAGACTCACCACAGACGCGCATCACTACCTGTGTAAAGAGGTGGCGCCCCCTAGACTCCTGGAGGCCATGCAGATCAGCTGCCACGGGCCTGTGTCGTGAGTTCAGCTACACACACACACACACACACACACACACCTAGGAAAAAACATATATGCAGAAATGTTTGTTTAAAACTGGACAAACTGAATTTGGGAAAAATGAAACCCATTTCAGACGGCCGTATAATATAATGCACACACACACACACACGTGTATGAATGAGGTGTGTGTTCCCGCAGGACGGAGTTCGCCATCAGTCGCTTGCGTCGCTGTGAGAATCAGAAAGGCCTTTATATCCTGAGGAGCAGCCCGAAACACTACCACCAGTTCTACCTGTCCTTCACCCTCGAGGTGTGTGTGTGTGTGTGTGTGTGTTATATCACCCTCGAGGTGTGTGTGTGTTATATCACCCTCGAGGTGTGTGTGTGTGTGTTATATCACCCTCGAGGTGTGTGTGTGTGTGTTATATCACCCTCGAGGTGTGTGTGTGTGTGTTATATCACCCTCGAGGTGTGTGTTATATCACCCTCGAGGTGTGTGTGTGTGTGTGTTATATCATGGTTAATCCACTGCAGTAACTAACCTCATGTGTGTGTGTGTGTGTGTGTGTGTGTGTGTGTGCAGCACGAGGGTCAGCTGGAGTTCAAGCACTGTCTGGTGGTCCGCTCCGCGTCGGGAGAGTTCGTGTTGAGCGGCGGGAAGAGCAGTTTCTCCAGTCTGAGCGAGTTACTGCAACGCTACCAGAAGGAGGCGCTACGCTCCGACACACACGTGTTCCAGCTGAGCCGCTGCTGTCCGCCGCGCAGCAAAGGTGACACTCACACACACACTCACACACACACACACACACACACACACACACACACACACACACACACACACACTCACACACACACACACACACACACACACACACACACACACACACTCACACACACACACACACACACACACACACACACACACACACACACACACACACACACACACACACTCACACACTCACACACACACACACACACACACACACACTCACACACACACACACACACACACACACTCACACATACACACACACACACACACATCCATAATAATTAGTGTTCCCGCAATAATAGCGATAAAGCTAGTTGGTGTCGTATCTCTGTCTGGGACTCGTTTGAGATCTGGAACTGGAACACAGATATTCCATATACATGTGTGTGTGTGTTCTGGGCAGGAAGTGATGTGTGTGTGTGTTCTGGGCAGGAAGTGATGTGTGTGTGTGTGTGTGTGTCCAACTCTAGATAAATCCAACCTGCTGGTGTGCAGGAACAGCCAGAGCTCTGACGCGCTTCTCTCGCCCTCCGAGTTCAAACACGTCAACCAGATGATCTTCCACAAGATCCACAAGGAGGACCTGGAGACTGTGAGTCACACACACACACACACACACACACAGTGGGTCAGGGCACGTTCACGCAGGTCTGATGTGTGTGTGTGTGTGTGTTCAGAGGGAGAGTTTGGGTCAGGGCACGTTCACGCAGGTCTGATGTGTGTGTGTGTGTGTGTTCAGAGGGAGAGTTTGGGTCAGGGCACGTTCACGCAGGTCTTCCGGGGCGTGCGGCGCGAGCGAGGAGATTACGGAGAGATACACAAGATGGACGTCGTGCTGAAGGTTCTGGACAAGAGCCACCGCAACTACACTGAGGTACTGTGGGAAACGGTGTGTCGTGACGAGTGTGTGTCGTGACTAGGGGTGGGCGATATGATATGACTAATTTTATTTCACGGTAACGATATATTTCACGATATAGTTATTTATATAGTTATCCTGAAAAAAAAAAAAAAGAGCTTTGTATAATAAATAAACCCAAATACTTTAGAAATGAAAAGTATGTCACCTTGTTTTATTTTTATTTTATTTGGTAAATTATTTATTTGGTAAACTATTTTTATATCAAAATATAGTAAACAAAAAACACTCTTTTAGATGAACTTCCCACAACAGATTAATATTAAATACAACTCATAGTGTGCATTTCAACTTTAAATAATTTTTCAATCTCATGCATTGCTTTACTTCATCATCACTTCATCAATTATCAATCAGCATTTTATAATATAATTAAAATATATATAATATAATTATAATATTTTTTTACCACATGTGCTTATACTGCGTTTTTAACGGAGAAGGGTATTCCTGCACAACCGGAGACTGCACACACTGTTGTTTCAACGGGCTTGTTTTGCTCTTTTTGTCATATCTGGCAACCCGTCAGTTCAGAAGTGACAAGAAGGAGAGCAGCAATATGAAAACCAAACCGCAGCTACTGTTAGTGTTGACTAAGTAGTTTAAATTATACACACCTTATAACAGTGCGTCGAACACCGCGCGCTCCCTCTCAGTGCATGTGCACGCGCGCGTCTTTTACATCAACAAAATGCGATCGATTAATTTGAGAGTTAAGTTGTAATCACGGATCGAATCAAAGGAAGATTTTATCAACTGGTCCAGTAGGCAATTGTTTGAAGTTAAAAAATATATAACTCGCGCTGCATATTTAGTAATTTTGCCTCAGAAACAGGATTATACATTCGTTTTAACAAGCAGGATGTTCATTCATGCTGAATGAGTTTTTCATGTTTAAAAAGTAACTATACATAAGAGAAGGAAAGATGCGGATAACTATACATTATTTAAGGTTATTTCTCGTAATGATATTGATATAGCCTATGAAATGTTATCAAGTAACTTCATGCTTTCCCCGTTGTGAACGTGCTCCTCTAAACTGTAGCCTGAGTGCTGCTGCTCTGCTCTAGTCGACGGCTGCCTTTCCCCCCCGAAGATATCACGTTAACAACAATCCTCTAGAAAATGTAATTCCTGTGGATCCTCTTGATCTGCTTTCTCCAGGTTTCTTTGACAAATCTCGGCATCAGAGTTAACCACGCCTCCTTATTTGCATTTCGCGGTATACACGGAATAAAAAAATCTATTATGACTGACGTTTTCTATCGCGGTAACGATATATATCGCCCAGCCCTAGTCGTGCCGAGTGTGTGTCGTGCCGAGTGTGTGTCGTGCCGAGTGTGTGTCGTGCCGAGTGTGTGTCGTGCCGAGTGTGTGTCGTGCCGAGTGTGTGTCGTGACGAGTGTGTGTCGTGCCGAGTGTGTGTCGTGACGAGTGTGTGTCGTGACGAGTGTGTGTCGTGACGAGTGTGTGTCGTGCCGAGTGTGTGTCGTGCCGAGTGTGTGTCGTGACGAGTGTGTGTCGTGACGAGTGTGTGTCGTGACGAGTGTGTGTCGTGACGAGTGTGTGTCGTGACGAGTGTGTGTCGTGACGAGTGTGTGTCGTGACGAGTGTGTGTCGTGCCGATTGTGTGTCGTGCCGAGTGTGTGTCGTGCCGAGTGTGTGTCGTGACGAGTGTGTGTCGTGACGAGTGTGTGTCGTGACGAGTGTGTGTCGTGACGAGTGTGTGTCGTGACGAGTGTGTGTCGTGCCGAGTGTGTGTCGTGACGAGTGTGTGTCGTGACGAGTGTGTGTCGTGCCGAGTGTGTGTCGTGACGAGTGTGTGTCGTGACGAGTGTGTGTCGTGACGAGTGTGTGTCGTGACGAGTGTGTGTCGTGACGAGTGTGTGTCGTGACGAGTGTGTGTCGTGCCGAGTGTGTGTCGTGACGAGTGTGTGTCGTGACGAGTGTGTGTCGTGACGAGTGTGTGTCGTGACGAGTGTGTGTCGTGACGAGTGTGTGTCGTGACGAGTGTGTGTCGTGACGAGTGTGTGTCGTGCCGAGTGTGTGTCGTGCCGAGTGTGTGTCGTGACGAGTGTGTGTCGTGACGAGTGTGTGTCGTGACGAGTGTGTGTCGTGCCGAGTGTGTGTCGTGCCGAGTGTGTGTCGTGCCGAGTGTGTGTCGTGCCGAGTGTGTGTCGTGCCGAGTGTGTGTCGTGACGAGTGTGTGTCGTGACGAGTGTGTGTCGTGCCGAGTGTGTGTCGTGACGAGTGTGTGTCGTGACGAGTGTGTGTCGTGACGAGTGTGTGTCGTGACGAGTGTGTGTCGTGACGAGTGTGTGTCGTGACGAGTGTGTGTCGTGCCGAGTGTGTGTCGTGCCGAGTGTGTGTCGTGACGAGTGTGTGTCGTGACGAGTGTGTGTCGTGACGAGTGTGTGTCGTGACGAGTGTGTGTCGTGACGAGTGTGTGTCGTGACGAGTGTGTGTCGTGACGAGTGTGTGTCGTGCCGATTGTGTGTCGTGCCGAGTGTGTGTCGTGCCGAGTGTGTGTCGTGACGAGTGTGTGTCGTGACGAGTGTGTGTCGTGACGAGTGTGTGTCGTGACGAGTGTGTGTCGTGACGAGTGTGTGTCGTGCCGAGTGTGTGTCGTGACGAGTGTGTGTCGTGACGAGTGTGTGTCGTGCCGAGTGTGTGTCGTGACGAGTGTGTGTCGTGACGAGTGTGTGTCGTGACGAGTGTGTGTCGTGACGAGTGTGTGTCGTGACGAGTGTGTGTCGTGACGAGTGTGTGTCGTGACGAGTGTGTGTCGTGACGAGTGTGTGTCGTGACGAGTGTGTGTCGTGACGAGTGTGTGTCGTGACGAGTGTGTGTCGTGACGAGTGTGTGTCGTGCCGAGTGTGTGTCGTGCCGAGTGTGTGTCGTGACGAGTGTGTGTCGTGACGAGTGTGTGTCGTGACGAGTGTGTGTCGTGCCGAGTGTGTGTCGTGCCGAGTGTGTGTCGTGCCGAGTGTGTGTCGTGCCGAGTGTGTGTCGTGCCGAGTGTGTGTCGTGACGAGTGTGTGTCGTGACGAGTGTGTGTCGTGCCGAGTGTGTGTCGTGACGAGTGTGTGTCGTGACGAGTGTGTGTCGTGACGAGTGTGTGTCGTGACGAGTGTGTGTCGTGCCGAGTGTGTGTCGTGCCGAGTGTGTGTCGTGCCGAGTGTGTGTCGTGCCGAGTGTGTGTCGTGCCGAGTGTGTGTCGTGACGAGTGTGTGTCGTGACGAGTGTGTGTCGTGACGAGTGTGTGTCGTGACGAGTGTGTGTCGTGCCGAGTGTGTGTCGTGCCGAGTGTGTGTCGTGCCGAGTGTGTGTCGTGCCGAGTGTGTGTCGTGCCGAGTGTGTGTCGTGACGAGTGTGTGTCGTGACGAGTGTGTGTCGTGACGAGTGTGTGTCGTGACGAGTGTGTGTCGTGACGAGTGTGTGTCGTGCCGAGTGTGTGTCGTGCCGAGTGTGTGTCGTGACGAGTGTGTGTCGTGACGAGTGTGTGTCGTGACGAGTGTGTGTCGTGACGAGTGTGTGTCGTGACGAGTGTGTGTCGTGCCGAGTGTGTGTCGTGCCGAGTGTGTGTCGTGACGAGTGTGTGTCGTGACGAGTGTGTGTCGTGACGAGTGTGTGTCGTGCCGAGTGTGTGTCGTGCCGAGTGTGTGTCGTGCCGAGTGTGTGTCGTGACGAGTGTGTGTCGTGCCGAGTGTGTGTCGTGACGAGTGTGTGTCGTGACGAGTGTGTGTCGTGCCGAGTGTGTGTCGTGCCGAGTGTGTGTCGTGCCGAGTGTGTGTCGTGCCGAGTGTGTGTCGTGCCGAGTGTGTGTCGTGCCGAGTGTGTGTCGTGACGAGTGTGTGTCGTGCCGAGTGTGTGTCGTGCCGAGTGTGTGTCGTGCCGAGTGTGTGTCGTGCCGAGTGTGTGTCGTGCCGAGTGTGTGTCGTGACGAGTGTGTGTCGTGACGAGTGTGTGTCGTGCCGAGTGTGTGTCGTGCCGAGTGTGTGTCGTGACGAGTGTGTGTCGTGACGAGTGTGTGTCGTGACGAGTGTGTGTCGTGCCGAGTGTGTGTCGTGCCGAGTGTGTGTCGTGCCGAGTGTGTGTCGTGCCGAGTGTGTGTCGTGCCGAGTGTGTGTCGTGACGAGTGTGTGTCGTGCCGAGTGTGTGTCGTGACGAGTGTGTGTCGTGCCGAGTGTGTGTCGTGCCGAGTGTGTGTCGTGCCGAGTGTGTGTCGTGCCGAGTGTGTGTCGTGCCGAGTGTGTGTCGTGCCGAGTGTGTGTCGTGCCGAGTGTGTGTCGTGACGAGTGTGTGTCGTGCCGAGTGTGTGTCGTGCCGAGTGTGTGTCGTGACGAGTGTGTGTCGTGCCGAGTGTGTGTCGTGACGAGTGTGTGTCGTGCCGAGTGTGTGTCGTGCCGAGTGTGTGTCGTGCCGAGTGTGTGTCGTGCCGAGTGTGTGTCGTGACGAGTGTGTGTCGTGACGAGTGTGTGTCGTGACGAGTGTGTGTCGTGACGAGTGTGTGTCGTGCCGAGTGTGTGTCGTGCCGAGTGTGTGTCGTGCCGAGTGTGTGTCGTGACGAGTGTGTGTCGTGCCGAGTGTGTGTCGTGACGAGTGTGTGTCGTGACGAGTGTGTGTCGTGCCGAGTGTGTGTCGTGACGAGTGTGTGTCGTGCCGAGTGTGTGTCGTGACGAGTGTGTGTCGTGACGAGTGTGTGCCGTGCCGAGTGTGTGTCGTGACGAGTGTGTGTCGTGACGAGTGTGTGTCGTGCCGAGTGTGTGCCGTGACGAGTGTGTGCCGTGACGAGTGTGTGCCGTGACGAGTGTGTGTCGTGACGAGTGTGTGTCGTGCCGAGTGTGTGTCGTGACGAGTGTGTGTCGTGACGAGTGTGTGTCGTGACGAGTGTGTGCCGTGACGAGTGTGTGTCGTGACGAGTGTGTGTCGTGCCGAGTGTGTGTCGTGACGAG